TAGATAACATTGGTCGCGAAGGCCTAAGTGTTAATCTAAAAATATATGCCTTGCCGGCTAAGGTAGTAACGTCATTACGTGTGACACACGTCCGCCTTCGCTCTAGCTAGTATTACATACCTCGGAAGACAAAGACATAGACATGTTGGAAAACATATAATTCATGCATATGCATGGGTTTTTCCTCGTTTAGTAATTAAGCCTAAAGCCACAGAACGATTCCACTCCATATATAAAGGACTAGCTTTTTTCCCCGTCCAAGGACAGGTGTAGATCGCAGTAAATCTGAAATATTCAATAGAAAAATTGTTCAGCTCACGATTATAAATGAGGGGGGGGTTGCCCCATGCGGAGTGATGTCACCCGCTAATGGTTATTGGGGATGGGTGCGGCATGTAGAGTGACGTCACCCCTCATGTTTATTGTGGAGGGGTGCGGCATGTGGAGTGTGCGACCTTGTGCGTTCGTGTAAATTTCCACGCGGGCATGAATATTAATGAAGGGGAAAGCTCTTTTTCAGTGACGTCACGCACGCATGTCGCACTGTGCTGCGTATATTTATTTTTTTACCGTCACTTTCTGTAAAGAAACGTCATTTGAAACGACTCTGCGGAATAAATTATTTAATTCAGCTCTGCCTGCATTTGTGTAAAAATCCACCCACTCATGAATATTAATGAGGGGGGGTGGGCCTAATGTGGAGTGACGTCACGCGTGGGACGGACAGACATTTCTGGGTGATTATATTATAGAAGGTAATATCAGTCATGCTTACATTCGTGTATTATATGGTAGTTAAACCTGTGGTGCTTTGAAGTTCCATCCATACTGTGTGGCTCTTCGAGAATTGGCAATTGCTTGTCATGGCGATGATTTTCATTCTGTGCGTATGGTTATCATGAAAAATACAATCTGCGCCTCAGAAAATGTATTATTAACCAGCAGGTGTTTTCTCCGTGTTGCCATCAAAATGTCAGTGCTGGGATCTTTTTTTAGGCTATATACATGTAGACTATTTTAGACATAGACTATTAGACCTCTGTAATATTATCTTATACGCATGCATACATTACACGTATGCGTGTATATCAAGATGCATAACAATAAATGCAATATTTTACGTGATATGCATCAAACGCTTATGCGTTGTGAAACCTGGGGTCGCGCAAATGTCCTTAACGATATTATAGCTCGTCTCGCTGAATTGTCGAGACCGATGCAGCGTCCACGTGAATGTGTTAATGCTGCGAGAGAAGGTGCAGGCGTGTTGTGCAAGTTAAACGAGCCTCCGGTGAAAGCTTTTTTTATATGTTAAAGAATTGTGTTGACTAACCTTGTCCGTCTAACAGCATATGTTTCGGGCAAATTTATGTCCGTTCAGTAGGGTGCGCAATGGTCTGATCCTTTTGTGTGGTAACCTTAGTGCTGAATTTGGCATGCGTACAATGGGCAGAATATTGGATGATTTTGCTTCCATTAAAGAAAAAAACCCAGCAAAATGAAGTGATATATACCCTTTTAATGTACAACGTTGCACCTAAGAGTAATTTTAGAATGTTTTCCATAAGTAATGTGAACAATTTGCCATCTTCATGAATTGGCATACGTGCATAATATCAGTACTTGCAGGTTGAGCAATTTTAAAAGAAATAACATGTAATATCCCTTGAACTGACTGCATTATATTGGTGTGGTGAGTTTTAAATGTCATGGCAATATGTGTTGTCAAAGGTGTGTTCGGGTTGGGCTTTAAAAGGAGAGCTGTAAACCCAGATCCAAATGCACTAAGCACCAAGCCACGCATCCGCTGTGAAATTCGCTTTGTATTAATGTTTAAAAGTAAGCGATTTCTCATTAGTGCCCATTAATCACACTTGACACTAATGCCATTAATGACTTCCTGTGTGTACATAGCGTTTGGACCAACAAATAGTAAAGCAAGCACGTTTAATACAGTTCGTTTGAGCATTACTAACTAAATGACAGTTACAAAGCCACTTTTGAATGCAGTCTGTAACCTCCCGAGATTTGTAGCGCTCTCGCGCGATCATGCATGCTTTCCCCACATAAAGTGTGGCAGGGTTATATTTGTTAAAGATACGTGCAAGATGTATTGAGCATTTATAGAGTCCGGGGCTGCTTTCGAGAGGTTTCCTGCTTGTACCGAGTTGCCGGCCTCTTGGTGGAACGCCCTGGCGTCTTATTGCTGCTGCACAGGCTCGCAATTCTCCCCAGCTTACTAATTACACCAGTCTCCTATAAACAAACCATTCAGCTCTGCAGAACTGTTTGGGAGTTCGCTCAGCTTCCACAGGAATGCGAGCATTAAACAACAGTACGGCGCATCACAGCACTCTTAATTGTTTTTTTGGATATCTTGCATTGTACGAGTGAAAATTTATAGGAATTGTGTGGATAGCCTAAAACTAAACCTCGCACATAATTCGGGAAGTAGGTTTTCCAACAGCATAATTGATAGTGTTGGTTAAATTTAATTTATTTTACACTGTTTTGGCTTTTTATGTCATCGAGTGTGTTTTACAAACACTTAGCCGACGTCTTGATTAGTGTTGTGCTTCGGATAACACATGTCCAGTGTTGCATGCCACAAATCTGAATTCAATAGCCGAATCACTTTTTACTGGGGGCAAGAAGGCTTCCCTGCAAAGGGCGAACTACTGTAGAGAGAGAGAGGGGGGAGGAGGGGGGGGAGGCTCTTTGAGCTGGGGCTGACGGAAGGGTGGGAATGAACGCGCAGTGACAACACAATGCCGTGTGTCACCTTGTTCTGTGGTTGAAAAAAAAAATTGAAAAGGAAGAAACTTTCCCACTAGATACAATATATAGGTGGGGAAAAGTAAACAATCTGGATCGAGAAGAGGAAATTGACCACAACTTGGTTTGACTTTGTGCACAGTCTTCACGGAAGAACCCAGCTGCTTTTCACAGGGACCCATAAAAAAGGCAGTTTCAGAAATGTCGGGCCCTATCACAGTGGCGTGCATTGTTTTCTGAGTTTTGTCCGCGGCCAACGATTCAAGGATTACCACAGGATTAAGTACCTTGAAAGGTAAGATTTGAATGCCTGTTCTGTTCGTTTAATGTCTCCAGATTACAAAAAAATGTTGTTAAACGGGGGGGGGGGGGCGCGGAGGGGATTGTTTTGTTCCACATTCTGCTACACCACTATCTACAAGTAATAGTAGCCTCCAGGCTTTGCTGTAGTGATGATACCTGCTTTGAAACTTTACGCTCCTGTGCTATTGTTGTTGTGTCAATCATTAGAATATAACGGTTTTTGTTCAAGTCACAGCTTGAGTTCACTTTAAAGTGCACACCCTACATCAGCCCATGGGGCAGTATTGAGGTCTGTTAATTATTTCTTTATCTCTCCTTTCTGAATCCGTCCCCTTTTCAGGCCCCAGAAGTAATGTGTTGGGGTACAACATTAAATCCTGCTCCATTTTCTAGCTTGCAGACTTTATGCATGCGCCAGACGTCTTTCCCAGAATTAAGTAATCATGTGTCAGTCTTATATAATAGGCGATTTTTTCCAAAACCAAACACTACCAGCTTGTAAAGAAGCTATAGTACGGACTTCAGGGTACAGTGCAAAGGGCTCTCTTATGTACAGATGTTTTAATGACACCTCTTGTACAACTACAGTACCCTATCAATGTTTTGGTACATTCTGTATCTTAACTATTGTTGTGCAATGACACTTTTTTATTTTTTATTTTGCATATATTGGGGGTTTTGTGGACGTTTTAAATATGAAAGCAATATATTTTTTATATCAATCAATTTCCTTGATGGTACACAAACCATTGTGGTCATACTTTAGGAATACTGCAAGACTTTTTATTCTGTCCCTGTATTTTTTCCCCTGCTTCTACTAATCTTAGGATTGAACAAAAAAAGTTCTCCATTTTATGTTAAACCCAAACATGGTCTTGTGCAAATAATGGTCTAGAAAAAGAAGAAATTGTGAAAAATATTTCGCAACGTGCAGCATATGCCAAGTGACTCAATGGCGGTATTTACAGCGTTTAAGATTGTGGAGTGCTGAGTATTGACAGCGCATAACTTGTTACGTTGGAAGGATCTGTGCAAAGGTCTAATCTTTTACAATGCCCATTGCACCAATTATGAAACTAAACTGCCTGTATGTGTTTTTAAATACAAATATTTAGGCTTGTGTATTGCATAAATTTAATTACTCGCAATGTCAGTCTTATTTTAATTGACATGACTGTAGATTTTATATAATTGTCTAGGGAAATGTTGTGTAACAGACTGTGCTAAGTTGTACATTTGGAACCACCTATAAAAATGTTCAAGAGCCGCTTGGCAGTCCACTGCTGGATAAAGGTCTTCCCCACACACTGTCAGCCATGGGAGTTTGTACTTCAAAAGGCTTGTCAGTCCAGGTTGGTGAAGGGCGAGGCCCATAACTGATTCACCACTGATGTTGTCCATGGCCTAGAATCAATTGAGTTCACTGGTTCACAGTAGTGCGCTATGTATGTATGTTGAACTTGTTTTTGCACCATGCGTAGCCAGCCGTGCTAATCGGAGGTGCGCTAACCACTGCGCTGTCACTCAATTGAGAACCACCAATGTACGTGTCCAGCCCATTTTCAATCCATTGATGGACGAGGATCTTTTCGTGTTCAGCAGGTTGTGGGGAATGTTAGACCACACTGGTCAGTGCAGATTGGTGAAGATGGGGAGCATACACATGAGAGCATAGATTATAACAATGGATTTTACTGCATTTGCCTCTGCTGTCCACGACATAGCCGCGTATGACAACCTGGCATGCATTGTGGTTACCATCATCATCAGGCGCAAAGCCCTCGGGGCATAGTGATCCCCACGAGACACTGCCAGGCGATCCTATCCTGCACCATGGTGGTGAATATCTTTCTCGATTGTGAGCGTCTACGTCATCTGTAGCCTGCCTTGGGGTCGTCTCAAATCCCGTGGTGGTGCGGCAGTGATTCTGCACAGGGCTCTGTTGTGATTTGCTGAGGCGTCCGCTCAAGCAACGTATCCGGAGAACCAAAGTCTTCTGGGTCCAACTGTCAGAGACTGATGGGCATCCTGTGTGAAGGTGGACATCGGCATTCGTGTGCGCCGAAGTGAATGTGGAATATCCGTTCAAGGTGTACCACTGGTTGAAAGCTGTCCAACTTCTGGCTCGGTGACGCTGTCGTCAGCCACGTCTCTGAGCCATACAGTGGTACGGGAACGACTTTTCACATTGTAGAGGCTGATCTTTGTTGCTGTAGTAATGGTGGAGCACCAGGTGTATCTGTCGAGCTGTTTCATACACTTGCATGTAATTGATATTCACCTCTTAAATTCTGCCTCGCTTCCAGTTTGTTGTCAAGTCAATGTTATATTTGCTTGAACATGTTGCACCTTTCTGACACATCTACCACTCAAAGTGCACCATGTTGCAAAATATAACCGAGATAAGTGAACGACTTTACTGCTTCAACATTTTGCCTGCTATTTGCACTTCGGTCAAATCGAGTGGTTGCTCATAAGTAGTCTGTTTTTTGGTTTTAGCCCGGTATATTTTGAGGCCAAATGGGAGGGTTTAACTATGCATGGTCTCCAGTGCTAAGAATAAAACTTAAATTATTTCAGCTCGCAAGGCGACATCATCTGCATAATCCAGATTGGAGTCGGTCCTATCCCACCAATATTCGGATTCAACTTAGTTTAGTGTCTGAGATCAAATGGGATTGGGTTAATTCTTGGTGATTGGAATGACATGGAAATCATGTATTCATTTAATCCCAACAATTTTTTATTTTTTTACCACGTTCCATAGTCAGTTTAACACGTAGGCTTTCGCGACCAGTTTGAATGTTCTATAGTCATGTGCAACACCTAATGCAATGTCCTGTACGTCAATGGGTGTTGCAAGTCTTCAGTTTATCTTCCACCTTCCTCCACGTGGCTATCAGCCTGACTCAGTTATCTTAAAACGGTTGTCATATATTTCGGTATGACAGAGTACAGTTTATTGGAACTTCTTTTTTTTACAATGTTTAGTGTTCAAAGTACATCTTATTTCTAGCCACGATATTTTTTTTCCTTGTGATGTATATTGCTTTACAGCCTGCTAAAGCAGCACAGCTTTCAAATATTTTAACAATTTGACGTGGAGTAATTATTAGTACGGTCATAAAATGTGTTCTACATATGAAAATAATGCTGGTTTTCCGTGATCAGCTTTTTTCAGCTGTGTATCATGTTATTGTTGGTGTGTAACTGTATACTGTAATCATGCAGATGTATTGCTTGTATAGTTTTGAGTTAACATTAAACAATTAATCTAAACCAATAATGCTATACCAAGTTAAAATATATAATGTTGCAATGTATTGCCCATTGTTAATTAACTTCTGGATAAATACTATGTCAATGATTTGGTAGTTGAATCGTACCTCACCATGCTTGTTAATGTCAGTTGATGAAGAGGGAAGGCCGAGGACTGGTTCTGTAATCACTTGCCACTGATGTTCGCCATGGCAATGAATCTTAATCTGGTTATTGGGTTCATAGTGCAGTATGCTAAGTTGCTAACCACTGCTCCACCGTTTCAAAAAAATTGCATGTCTTCAAGACCATTTAACGAGCAGTATTAAAAAAAATCCATCTACTTTGTTTATACTTTTCTCTGGTTAATGTATTCTATTCCCTAAACTTAACATCAATTATGTTTAGATTGTTATTTTGCATTTGCACATTGCCTTTGTTGGAACTTATTAATTGGCTTAGTTCAATGGGCAAAAAAGAATGTATCGGCAAGTGTGCCTTTAATGACAAGAGAGATTGGTTTCTGGGGAGATGCGTGGGTGGCAAGTCTGAATGCTGTGTTCATTTCCTGTGTGGGAATGGGGAAAGACTATAAACAGCGTCACTGACAGGTCGCTAATATGGAGGGTGAATGAACAATCAGCAGAGGAATACTTGACAATTGATCGCTTTGGAATAAGATAGGTTTTTTGCTTTTTATTTGTTTCAAAACTATGCGGCTCTTTGAGATATGGCCTAATTTTTGTGTTAACTGCTAAAATGTAAAATGTATATTTGCACAAATGTATCTTTATATGTGGTTGCAATGCTATATTGAGAATGTTGAGTGAGCGTTATGGGGTATACATGTACAGCTATAAAATTACGTATATATAATGTTTTGTACCAGAAATGCAGAGACTAAGGGTCTCTTCTAAGCCATTACGAAATGAACAAAAGTTCATGTCACATTAACCTTTTTTTACTTCAGCAAGCGTTGTCTGTCACATCGCATTAGTACTTGTATATACCATTTAAGCAAAGACACAATTCATAAAGTACCATGGTGTATTAAATGTTCAGAATACAGATTTTTATATATGAACTAAAAATAACTAAATATTTTAAGGACTAGACATCCTAATCATCTTTGTTCAAAGCATGTAACTTACAATACCAGGTCCATCAATGGAACACTTTTCCAGTGTCGTATTTCCAACCTACCTGGTACAAGGCAGTTACTAGAATAATTGTATGCTTTAAGTTTGGTCAATAATGCTCCCGTTGATGTGAAAGTACATGTAACATAATTTAATCGGTTCCTGCAGATCAGTTTATAAAAGTTCTCATCCATTGTTGTTAATCTGTGCATAGCTGTGCTTTCGTAGAATCAATGCTGCCCAATATATCGCATTTTGTGCACTGATACAATGAAACGTTAACATTTGATAGTCGATTGCGTTTTGTGGCATTGGAACCTTCGAACCTTTGAACTTTGCACCTTCAGGTCTTCCCTTGCTGATTGTTAACTGTCCTTGAACATTTGAGAGAATGTAAATAATGCATGTGCACCTTGCAACTATCAGTCCAAATCATGACAGCAGATTTTGGTCTTTGATTTGAAAATGACAGCTTTTAAAATTGTCTCACAAATGTTAAATATGTACTGAACAACGTTCCCAATTTGTTGTGATGTTTTTTTTTCCTTTAAGAAAACAAAGACATCAAGGAGCATTCTTAGCCTCTCCCAAGATGATGAACAGACTGCGCCAGAGTTTTCGGAGAAAGAAGGAAAAAGGTGTTCCAGAATCCAGCCGGCCCCACCAGTGGCAGACTGACGAGGAGGCAGTGCGCCATGGTCAATGCAGTTTCCCAGTCAAGGTGAATTACATTCGTCAGATCCAAAGAAACAAAGCAGACATCACCCCGCACCTCAGATTAACACGGTTGGCTGTGTACAGTTGCGAAAGAAGTTCAACATACATATATAGTGTGCTTTTGCATGACCACTGTCTCTCTTTAAGGAAAGAGAGTTAACCTTGTGCACATTAATTTTTTTGTCTTATAAAAGTGTCCAGCTTTTTGTGTCTCAGTGTTTTTGACATTTGGCTACCAGTGCCCTAATTGACCTGAGTTATGGGTATCCAATGTTTAATGTTCACCGATAGGTCTGAAGAACAATAAGGTTTATGACTGTGATGGACAGAGGCCAAAATTAATGATCGTTTTTATTGTTAGCTTTTCTGGGAGTGAGGTCAAGACAAAGCGGATGGGAAAATAACACAGGAAACTCGAAATGGATGTTGTGGACTAGCAATACAGTCAATTGTCATCACTGCTTCGTAGAGGGTGATGCATTTTTAGCACTTAATTCTTATTTCCAAAGGACAGATGGACTGCTTGTATGTTCAACTTGTTTTTCCAGGGTGTGCCTTAATATTTGATTCAACTTTTGTTTAATGAATTTCATTGGTTTCCTTTATCATTGTAAGGGAGGAAAACATAAATATGATTAAAATTACAATACAAAACATTCTTATACTGCTTTCAGATATGGTAAATGAATGCGATACTTTGAAGAAAATGGTACAATTCCTGTTACTTGCGCTTTTAAAGGTTGCAATTAAATTGCAGCAATGCAAAATAAAAGAACAATCATAAATTCCATTACCATCATTTTAATTCATTGCTTGTGGGGTGCGCGCACTGCATGGGCACAGAGCCGCATCTTCCGGCTGTTTGCCTTTTTCCACAAGAGTGAGATTTGCCTCGGTATCACCGTGTGTGTGTGTGCGTGTGTGCGTGCGTGTATGCGTGCGTGCGTGTTTATGTGTGTGCGTGCGTTTCCTGGTGCAGTACCTTGGAGCAGTGGAGGTGGATGAATCAAGGGGAATGCACGTGTGCGAGGATGCCGTCAAGAGGCTTAAATCTGTGAGTCAGTCCCAACTTCGTGGGTGTGCGTGTGGAATAATAATTACATTTTGTGCGTGCATATTTTATATATTTTTCTCTTGTGGTTGAAAGCACAATATATGCTACACTTTTTTTTATAATTATGAACAAATCTCCTTAATCTTCTTGGTTCTTTCGGTAAAGTCACGTAAAATGGAAATAAAATAATATTTTATTTTATTATGTTTTATTTTTATTATTTTATTTCCATTCTATGTGACTTTACCGAAAGAACCAAGAAGATGAATCCCTGCAGTTACGAAAGCTTTAAATCGAAAAATCTCCTTAAGTATAATGCCACAGCTGTAATTGTGAAATATTACAGTAAGTCCAAGTGGGGATTAACTGAAAGAGTGGCCATTATTGGGTTAATGATCTAGAGTCCATTGGGGAATTGATATGTGGGTACCATGAGCCTGGTTGTGAGAATATAGCTTTGCTGAATTAGATTGGTTACTGCTTGTAAGAACCCCAGAGCCAGTATAATTGTTTACCCAGCCATATGCCATGGCCTGACTTGGCATTTGTGGCAGCTGCTGTTGTAATCCCCAGCTGGTAGACCTCTCGGTTAAATGATTTAAAACCTGATTTTTAGTCTTCAAACAGAATAGTTTGGTTATTTAATCCATAATAACGTCGACAAATCCCTGTGTAACTTCCCTTAACGTTTGAACAATTATCCCAAAGGAGGAAATGTGTGCCTTTGTCTATACAATTGCCATTTCCTAGATGAAATGTTTTGCTATTGTTCAGAAAAGGTTGAAAATGCCTGCACTTTTCATCCATGATGAACACTGATGCATGTAATTAACTATTATTATATTTGGATATGATTACAAGTGAGGGCACATGGTTTACGATATGTGTTATGCGCTCTACGTTAGCAAAATATATCCATCACTTATTTTTTTAGGGAGCAGTGTACACCTTATGGCTGGTCCTATCCCTGAGTTGTAATGTGTGCAAATTTATCTGTCCATGTCGTATACATATTGTGTCCATTAATGATTTCGCATCAAACTTAGATTTTATTCCAGCTGATACAGGCCCATTTAGTTAAACATTCCTCTTATAAGGACGAGCAACCCAAGACTGCCAGCATTGGTGGCAGTTACAGAACATTGCAGAATGGGAATGTGAAAATGTATAAACTAACAAGAGCCAAAACTAAATAACTTATAATAAACATGCCACTTCAATCTGCAAACAGGCTGAAACATAAACTGTTTAAAATAAAATGAGAACCCTCTAAAAAAAATAATGTCACAGACATGTAAATAGACCATTGTCTCAGCTGTAATGGATGTCAGTTATAGCATTTGCAATTGTGACAGGTAGTCCTGAAGCATGGCATTAACACACATGCTAACAAATGTAAATTTGGAATAATAATATTGGTTATGAGGACATTCCAAAATGTGGGTTCTGCGCAAGGAGAATTCCCTGGAACTTGTCTGCTTTTTCGATCTAGGAATGGTCTACAGGAAATCGGAGGTCCATCTCTGGTTTCTTGGAAGTTTTAACAGTTAGAGAATGTCACTTAAATACCGAGATTATTTGGGTTGAGGAACTTTGTAGATGAAGATTGCCCAGTATGGATCTCAATGTAATTTCAGAAAGGTTAGATCAGCTTAGAGTAAAGCTCACAGTAGTGACTTTTTAATCCTGGCTTATAAAGTGAAAGCTAGTTTTTCTTCAGTTTTTACCCTACAAAGTAGATTAATAAGTTAAGCACATGCAGCTGCAAGGTTGCATACATACAGACATCAAAAATCACGGGTAAGATTTGCATCATGTTTATAAACTTTACTTGTCTGCCAATGTTCTTAACAAACCAAAACATGTAAGCTTGTGCTTGCTTATAGGTATGCTGAATCTAAATTCATGCCAGGGATGTGGTGTGTGTATTGCGTGTGTATTGCGTGTATATAGACGTTTCACTTTTAATTTGGATGTTTTTTTATGAAATATGCAAATTCATGTGATGTGTATATGGTATATTTAAAGTAAAAAAATGAAGTGTTTTCCTTCTAAAATGAGAGTGGGAAGGAGCTTAACTCCAGTGGTTTCCTTGTGCTGCTTGTGAAAGTTCCACATTCCTTTGGTAGGGACCAATCTCTCGATAAGACAAACATATCAGTTGATAATTTACACTTCGAAAGCACCTTGGTGGTACACTTTATTGTCAACACAGCACATTTCCCTGCAAGGCAGCCTTTGTTGTGACGTATTTGAAACTAGGTTTAATCTTCGAATAACCTTAAGACGTTGAATCATTGAAAGTCATGACTCTTTGGCATATGACTGACATGTGAATTCAGTAAATGGATTTACGATTTTATTCGAAGGAATTACATTATTAGTATGTTATGCACGTTAAAATGAATACAAATTCTCAAGTTTCTGTCAATAATCTTAGAAACAAAACACATTTCTGTCAGTGTGGCTCTGCAAATTATATTTTCTTAATGATGGCATGTTTTATCATTATTTCTGTAGGTCGGGAGAACAAAGGTGCGAGCAGTATTGTGGGTTTCTGCAGACGCTCTCCGAGTCGTGGCTGATCTGACAAAGGTAAATTATTGTGGAACTTGGAAATGGAAGACTTCAATTGCATTCATCAGTTTCGATTTAAAGCTTTCGTGACTGCAAGGATTCATCTTCTTTGGTTCTTTCGGTAAAGTCACGTAGAATAAGAATAAAAGAATAAATTGATAAAATAAAATAACACAATAATATTCTCCGAAACGTCGTGAGAATATTATTGTGTTAATTTATTTCATCAATTTATTATTTTATTCTCATTCTACGTGACTTTACCGAAAGAACCAAAGAAGATGCATTCATCAGGTTGAAGTTTGGAGCGGCTATACAATGTTATTAAATGCAATTGGTTAGCAAATGGTGTAGAGCCGTAGTGTGATTACTCTTACATTTTATTTTGAGTTTTATATATCTCACTCGGCTCTGTATATACACGGGTCGAATTGGTTGTGACCTTGAATTAATGGTCTGTATTTGCACATCACAATTTTTTTTTATATAATGTGAGTTTATAACCTATGACTCAATATAATTTTCCATTTTTATGAACAATGACACATTCAAAATAACAGATTCTTCATAGTCCTTTGGACAATATTAATGTATCATGCTCAATATATTTTAACACTCCTAAGCAAGTATATCAACTGGCATTACAATAAATTTAAGTAACTTTTTCTTTAGTAGCATACCAATACTACTGTTGGTGTTTGCACAAGTTAGAAGGTTATGCTTGTCAATTAGTTTAGTATATTATTTTAATACGTAATTAAATAATTCCAGGAACAGAAATACATGTCGAATGAGTAATGACAACATATAATGTCCAATTAGTCGGTTTAATAAAAAATCTGTCTCCATATGTTATCTTAAAAAAATGCATCAGATGCATTGACGCTTTATTGACTAGAATGAATTTCTGCCATGAAAGAAAAGTAAACACTATTTGCTCTGTTTAGTTTTAGATTACTTAAAATGCCTATTAAGCTTTGTATGGCAAAGCAGGCTGGGCAAGCAATTGAGAAGGAGGAGCTTCCTCTTTGTGTTATTTAATGGCATCCGCTCACATGAGAAAGAATAAACGTAACCTCTTGCAAACGTAGGCCATTGTTCTACATAAAAATCACGTGTACTGCCTCAATGAATGGTAGAAAACAATAGCCAAAGGCTTTGTGTGTTGGCAAGTTACATTTAATAAATCAATATTGGTCCAATGTGCCAGTAACCCTTACCATTCCCAAAATGTGGTTGTATTACCCCATTGAATATAATGCATTAATATTTTTCTCTTGCAAATAGTATAAGCAAGCACTTCATATAAATATCATTGTCATAGCGCATGTGGTCAGCTGTTGGTATTTGTTGGTTCTCACTCTAGAATGTGTTTTGTTTATGCCTTCCACCCACTTGTTGTAGGATTTGATTGTGGACCAGACGATCGAGAAGGTGTCCTTCTGCGCTCCGGACAGGAACTACGAGCGAGCCTTCTCCTATATCTGCCGCGACGGCACTACACGTCGTTGGCTTTGCCACTCTTTCATGGCCGTCAAGGACTCTGTGAGCAGAATGCCTTAAGTGAATTGTGTGTGTGTGCCGTGAGCAATGTGTTTTGGTTTGTACTGGAGAAAGAAAGAAGGAAAAAGACCTTCAGTAACCCGCACAATCCCCGTGATTGACGTGGCATAGATCGGCTTTTATCCAGCAGCGAGTTGATGAAGGGTTGGAATTATAGTATTTTTGGAGCCTATAGGGCCGCTGCTGCACTGCATTTAGTCGATGAGCAGGTTGCACGTGGTGGGGTTAAAGTGTGGGGGGTTCGTCCTGCCACTTTCAATGTCTCACCAGCATGGAAGAATAGGCCAAACTACCCCTTGGTGGGACTCTCACGAGCTTCCTCTAGGGGAGACCCTTCCACTATCAGTGTCGTGATCAAGCACTTTTAGCGCTGCACCTTTACCTTTTTCTCAATGTGGCCACGTTTGCATTTAACACTTTTAATTTAGGTGAATAGATTAGTCGCATGGTTGTGGCCAGCTATTCCACAGCAAAGGTTATGCATTTACGCATGCATGTTAAAGTGCTTTCACACCGTACGTAGCCAACCGTGCTAAACGTTTCTGTAACGTTTGCCCGTCCGCCTCCCTCCCTCCCCGCCGTCTCAACTCCCTGACAGGGCGAGCGCTTGAGCCACGCCGTGGGCTGCGCCTTCGCCGCGTGCCTGGAGCGCAAGCAGAAACGCGAGAAGGAGTGCGGCGTGACGGCCACATTCGACGCCAGCCGGACCTCGTTCACCCGTGAGGGCTCTTTCCGCGTCATGACCGCCACGGAGCAGGCCGAGCGGCAGGAGGCCTTGCGGCAGATCGAGGAGCAGAAGCGTGCAGGTGCCTCCTCGCTCCCTACCTCTGTTGGCAATCTGGAGCGAAAGCACTTTATAGATGCAACCCAAATAACAGGCAGCACTTGTAGACACTTTACCTAAGCTGTGTCTCTCCGGTGTAGGTTTGATGCTTAATCATGCTATATTATATTTTATATATATGAAAACGAAGTTTTTTACTCGCTGGCGCGCGGGCGGGCGCGTGTGGTGGTGCGGCTCGATGTCACCCGCACACCACAGAGTATTGGGCCCGGTTCGTGTATCGCTGACGCCATATCTCTGCCCCACCCACTCTCCACACCGGCTCGTGTATCCCACGCAAATGCATGGACAGTGCTAGTTAGTCAAAATAAAAATCACAGGTGCTATTTAGTGACCTCTTCTCAATGTCATTCCTGTTCTTTTTAATATCCTTTTAATCGCATGTACATTGTTAACAACGGAAGACTGCACTAATTTCCACTGGTATGTTGTACTGCTTTGCTCTCACACTGACCAGCATGGTGGAGTATGGTCAAATAACCCCCATGACCCCCACGGCATTGGAAGCCTCTTATACAACAGTGGATTGACAAATAGGCATGTACTTAGGCATGTAACAATACCGCGATTTATTTATTAAAATGTATTATTTTCTTCAATATATAGCAATCTATTTGCATATAGGAATTGGTTATTTACGATGTTATCTATGCAATTCATTTTGATCAAACCTGTCTCTACAATCACTTCAAGTAATCATATTTAGCATGGGATGAACCATTGCATGCCTAACCTTCCTGAAGTGAATCGCAACAATCAAACTGACCATGATGTAGAATTATATTTTTTCACTAACAAAGTTTCAAACTTGTGTTGGGCAACCTGTGACACACAGCTTGGATAAGTATCTACTTCATAAGACATTTTGTTTTTGGGTTGTATCTTTCAAGTGCTGGCACTTATCTGCTGGCTGTGGCACTGGTAGCTTGGTGGATAGCTTGAGAATAGGTGTATTATGTAACTTGCATTGTAACCTTGTGCCCAGCAACACTTTTTTTATGAGAACAGGTCAACATCTTTTCATCTGGCCAAGTTCCCAAACCTGTCTGAGATATATCTTCACATGTTCAAACCAGGAAATTAGGTCATGCTCAAGAGACCTGAGACTATTAGCCTTACTTCCTGGTCTTCTGTAACCATTAACATTTTTATGGGGAAATGAGAACTGCATTACTTTGCTAAATTTGAATGAATGTATGGTAGGTCACATAACGTGTCAAATAACTTATGATCCTGATAGAGATTGTTCATGGCAATGATTATTTATTGAAACAAAGCCGGTATATCATGAAATAAAACTTACTGGTATCTTTTGAAGATTACTGTTAAAGGTCTTGGTTTGCAATTATACCAGTAAAATATGTTTAAAATTGTAGCATGGGATTTAGCAGCCCTGTTAATACGTTCAGCATGTATATGTTATAATTCCTGCATATGTTACATTTTCATGCACATTTTATTCATATGTAAAATTTTAGCCATATGCTCTCCTTCTAACATGAAATTGCCATCATTCACCGGTGCATATTGAAATACGTGGATTTCAAGTTAAACATTACCAGAGTGAAACTGTAATTTGCTAGTGGTGCTTTGTTTTAACTAGAAAATTCTGCACTGACCATACTTTATATATATTTTTTAGGAGGCCAGTCCTGTATATTTCTAATAGGGGTTTCTTTGTTGTACTTTGCCCTGCCTGACAAGTTTAATTCACGGAATACCATGGAGTATGTGTAATGAGTATAGGAATTGCTTTCATTTTGCAGAAGTTTTCCTCTTTGCATCTCAATTAGTTGACTCAGTGCAATGTCTTTTGGCTGCAACCACTGATTGTAGGAACAATGTACACAAGTGGCAGGGAAGAAAAGTTTTTCAAATACTAAGGCTGTAATTTATTTGCAAAAGAGTTTTTAGTTTTACATGTAGCTCATGATCACCTTTTTATGCCTTCTTTACTCTTAGCTTGGTGTTTTTATAAACTATCGCAAACATTTTGCTGATGGCGAAAACATCAGCTTTGTTCTTATAATATAACACTAACAATGATATTAATACCATAAATTGGGTTGCCTGATGAATTTAACTGGCTGGTGACCCCACATCGGAAGTCCAGCTGACTGATGGATTTTCTGCTTGAGTACATGGAAGGAATGTTTAAGGTCAAATCTCGGTAGTCTGCTCTATACCCTTTGATGTGTCAATCAGATTATGCTGATGCTTTGTCCGCCTGGCTTCTCACTGCCAAGCGCATGATCACAAATGCAAGGAGCTGGATTTGGCAACATTTTGCCCTTTAATGTAATTTAAATGAAGTACATTACTATTTTTTTTATGTTTTCTGTGGCCAGTTAATGAGGACCCTTGTTCGTTAAAACTTAACGTGGGCTACACAGTAGAGACATCTATGTTTACTTCGTCCTTCTCCCACACCTCCGATTAGCATAGTTGGCTACGTACGGTGCGAAAAAGTACACACATTACCTCTACAATCAGTTCGCACTCGAAGCATAATGTAAATGGTAGTATAGAATGACAATCGAAGCAGATTTTCAAAGTGCTTTATTCGTGTACATTATCCATAGCTTTTAGGGTCAGCAGGTTGCTTTCTTGTCAAACCTACATCTCTTCGTGAAAACCCTCTAGAGTTGATGTATAAATGAATTCTAATTTCTATTTGGATTAGGTTTATTTTGGGTAATTTTTATTTGTTACCTTGGCTTATGAAAGTAGTTTGTGAAATGTGTAGCGGTATTAATAGGACAAGTTTAACAACACCCTTCGCCACCCCTTCCCCACCCCTCCCAACCACAATTAAATGCATGATTGCAATCTAGATTTGAAGTTTTCGTGACTGCAGGGATTCATACTCTTTGGTTCTTTCGGTAAAGTCACGTAGGTATAAAAATTAATTAAATCACGACGTTTCGATTGCAACGCAAACAATCATCAGGTGGGGAAACCACAGCAAGAAAATGTTTTGCTGAAGTGTGAGAGAGATACCCCTCTTCTTACCTATATAACCTCTTACCACGGTATCTCTCTCCCACTTAAGCAAAACATTTTCTTGCTGTGGTTTCCCCACCTGATAATGATTGCTTGTGTTGTGATCGAAACATCGTGATTTAATTTATTTTATTTTTATACCTACGTGACTTTACCGAAAGAACCAAAGAGTGCATTATTGCAGTTCAGGGTTGTGATTTAATTCAAAGTAAAAATACGTAACCTTTTGGTGAATATAGCATTAGTCCTTTTAAGGGTCCATGAACCTATAATATACAACATATAAACACTGTTTGGTAGGAGGTAGAGAGAATGGTTGTCCTCTAGAGTCTAATCTTTACCAGTAGTTGGTACATGGTATTTATAACCATTGGAGAAGAGCTCTCAACAATCACTCAAACATGGTGACACTTGAGACGATTTTAATTGTCAGCATATGTTAGCGCTGCAAAATTCGTTGCTTTACTGCGATCCCACATCTATAAGAACACATGATCTATGCTACCCACTGTCGGCCTGCATTGACCAGCATGGAAAAGTATAGCCAAAATACCCAACAAGGGCCCACACAGTTTGGGGAGGCCCCTTTGTCATCAGTGATTTTACACGTGCACAATGGTCTTATGAAAACTAAAAGCCTGGCTTAAATGACAATAGATGAAGGTGCACCAGCTGCAATTGCTTACTCACACCACTGCTGGCAGAAGGGCCTTCATTAGAGGGAACTCTGCTCTTGGAAGAGGGGTGGGGGAGGTACCCACACTTTACCCCACCACATTGAAAACTAATTTCTTCAATTGAAGACTCATTTATTTAGAATTACTTGTTTTGTTTTTGTTTAGGTTGTCCTTCCCCTGCACCTCCGATTAGCACGGTTGTCTACGTACGGTGCGAAAGAAGTTCAGCATGTACATACATTCATTACTACAAATAAACTATAGATTTCCACTTTTCTTTTTTATCGCAGCCGGTGTCGCTAATGGGCACGAAAACGGTGGTACGGGGGATGCAGTGGTGGTGGCGGCGGTGGCGTCATCAGCCCCGATTGAAGTTGTTAATCAGGTGGTCTCCAGCGGTCCGTCGGATGGGGGCAGCGTCCTCGCCATCCCGCGCCGGCATGCCCCCATCGACGAACTCGTGCGGCAGGGTTCCTTCCGTGGCTTCCCTGCGCTGCTGCAAAAGAGTTCGCCCTTCAAGCGCAACCTCTCGCTCCGCCTCAACGACCTGCCCTCCACGCTGCAGCGCAAGACCGACTTTCAGCTCCTCAACAAGGGTGAGCGTTTAAAAGTGACTGGCACGTATGTATGTATGCGAGTTGAACTTCTTTTGCACCGTACATTGCCAACCGTGTTTCTCGGAGGTGCGGGTATAGGCATAGCAGTTAATGCACATGCGTGCGACGCGTACATTTCAATAGTTTATTAGATCACGAGTTGTAAGTATACCTGGGTTTTTTAGACCACAGATGGTTGATTGGATGGTGGTGGTGAGTTTTGTGCAATTGAAAGGTTTACAAGGGTAAGTGAAAGTGTTGGTGTGTTGTGTGTTAAGCTAAATGTGTACGACTGTGCATGTGTAAATATGAGTGGATGTTTTTGTAATCTTGTGCCTCAGAATAACTGTGGGGGGCGGGGAAGTGGCTTGTCTTGGAAACGTGTTTAACATTACTCCTACATTTGATTGTAGTGTTTTGAAGTTACGTAAAATGTCATTTTAAGCTATGGTATATGAATGATACTCAGTCATGACTTGCTGTTTTTGCATGATAAACATTCACTCTTAATATTCTCTGCTAGATTTAATGGTAAAATACTGGCCTTTAGCATATATATCTGCCTTTGTTACCACTTTTCCTATTATAGTAATTTTACAATTACACTACTAGTGTCCCAGTTTCACATAAAATGTCGTGCTATCATGAGTTACATACCTATTAACTGTGCCTAAGTAATTCTGATGAACAGACAGGTTTTTGAAGTTATGGGCACAACATGTATACATTTGTGTGCTCCCTGAGGGTCATTTTGGAATCGTGTATAATTTTGTGGTGTATAGTAAAGGTATTAAAACTGTTGAACCGTTTATTGTCTTTGGCAGTGCCGGAGGTGGAATCGCCAAACAGCCCCGAACCGCCCAGCGCAGACGGTATTCACGCCCTTTGCTCCCAGATAACGAGCAGCTTCCCTCCCGCTGAGGATCCATTCTGCGCCGTTCCCATGTCCCGGCCAAACGTTCCTGGTGTGGCCACCCTGCCTTTAGGTTAGTGCCACCCTGCCTTTAGGTTGGTCCCACCCAGGGATATCCAAGCTGGTGCCCACAGAATGTAGCTGCCTACATGTCTACATTTGTGGCCCCTCCCAGCGATTGGCACCAGCAACATCTTTACTATGAGCAACTGTGGCAACTTAATATGGCGTTTGCAAAGTGTGGTGGTGGTGGGGGGGTGATCTGTCCAGACAATAAACACGAGTTTGTTGAAAAGTGTGTTTGGACAATTGGCTACAGAGCACACAACTTTAAGGTAGTCATGCGACTTGGGTTTTGTAATCTAATTGGACATTTTTAGTTGCCCACATGTTCATTTTACAAATGTTGTGGCACCCATTGCCAGTGACACCCTGAAATTGCCTTTAGGAGGTACCAGTGCTTGTTCCCGCCAGGCATTGAATTGGACTGTAATAGGAAAGTCAGAGTTTCCTTATTTGGCTGTTAATATACATTTTGACAATCTGTCCCAATGTGAAATAATTAATCCACAAACACTAAACTAATAGGTGAGTGATGGAGCACACAAAATAAAGGCTACATCACTTACATGGCTGGCTTCACTGTACATTGTAAGGTGGGAAGGTACATGTTTGTGAAACCTAACAGACTTGTTTATGTTAATGAATTAATGTGAGAACAGCATTCCAATGAACTTCCATGACTTCAGTTGTTGCTAGTCTTTGCAAAACAATTGAATGTTAAAGCTAAAGTTTGATTAATGTAGAATTTATAGCTGACAGAAATCATTTCCATTGCAGGTGTGACTGATAAAACCGTCTGTTAAACCTTTGGACCTTACCTTTATCTCTGCTTGCCTTTTGCTTAAGGCATTTTACGTACTGTGCGTTTGAAACAATGTCGCATGTTTATACACAGTATTATGTAGGCATGTATGTGACGTAAAAAGTGAATCCTAGGAAGTTTAATTAATAATATAAATTACACACTTTAATTCCGGACTTTGTTTACATAGATTAGAACTCGTGTGATAGTTGGAGATACATTTGTGAGGTGCATAGCCATCAAATGAGGTGGTCTTGCTTAAGAGCAAAGGGGAATGGGCCTATCCAAAGTCCCATTTGGTGAGACGCTGAACTATTGAGGTAGTGAGCGCCCTCTGCTGGACCAGCTGGTTTCTTCTCCCTGGCAACAGTTCACATCGTATAGAATAACGAGCTGCGTTGTATGCAAATACGCCGCCTTGGGATTTGTGTGCTGTAATTTTTTTGTTACACCGACACTTGAGAAGCCTCAATTAAGGAGACGGCAGTGCACTTTTGACGCATTTTGTTTGCTACTTGGGATTGTGGGGTTGGGGCACTGGCATGCAATCCCAGCAGGTGCATTATCTTGCTTCCACTGCTGCCCAGCCATCACACTTGATACATTCAATTAAAGTGCAGCAACATTTAAAGTGAATATAAGTGTAGCAGGTTCCAGGTCCTTTGGATAAAGTCATAATGAATGTCGGTAAAATGCTTAATGATCAACCACTCATGTCTGGGTTATAAATATTATTTCCAAAATGAAATTGCTCAGGAGAAGAAAGTGGTTGGCCAGCCTTTAGGTGACATGCACCGTACTTTATACAGAGGATTTATGTCGCCAAACAGCCACATTTCTGCACCGCTGTAAGCTGCATTGCCTTAGATGTTTCCTGACCTATTGGCCTGGACAAAAGAGTCATTCTCACAAGTTCATTGCTCATAAGTTATCGGTTGCAGAGCCCTGGCTGGGTATAATACCATACATACATAATTTTTTCACCATAAGACGAGATAACATTGTCAATTACAAAACCATTCGTTATTATATAAAACAATAGTGCCAAAATAGTTTATTCCAAAAATATACAAATATTTGTCAGTTCTAACGAAATGAGTTTTCAATCTAGATTTAAAAGTGCATAGGTATAGTGGCTTCCTAATGTAATCTGGTGCTCTTGCCTCTATTTCTAACTTATGTAATCTTAATTTTACTGTTGGCTGACAAACACAAAACAGACAGCAGGTAATCAATATTTATTTATCCTGGAGGAATCCGATCAGCTATGAAGCTCTTTCACAGACGTCCAATAGTGACAAATAATCTGGGTTTATTTATATCAAAGCCAATCCTTTAGTGTAATAAGACAACCGGGGGGGATGAGTGTGCTGTACACGCTAGTGCACAGGGAGAAGTTCATAACCATTTCTCCTGCTGCAGCTTCTCCGTTTTACCGTTGCCTCTTTCATTTTAACTGGCTTTGCAATTTCTCGCTTGTTCCAGCTAACACCGTGCCTTCCGCGTTTCCTGTAACCAACTCTAAACCCCCCGTTTCCCCGCACTCGACCGTTGCACCCGTGCGCGACGTCAATCCTTGGAGTCACGCCTCCTCTGTCACTGTCGGTACAGCAGGTAAGTTGTGCCTGAATTCCATGCTCCTTGGCGTGATGTCTCGTCTTCTATTTATCCAGCTTTCTCGTGAAAATGTCTTAAGAGGGTTTGCTGACAGTCGTCTTTGATGCTTTTTCAGTAGCAATATGTAAAACTCTGCAAATGTAGCAGATAATTCACTTCAGTATTTGTCATAGACGTATCTGTAGCATTGTGGCCTAATACAATTCCATTAATTAAATGTGCATCCTGTTGCCACTACCAATGGCAATGTAAAAAAACAAGTTCAAACGAAATATCTTGTACAATTTTGATTAAAAGCTTTCGTGACTGCAGGGATTCATATTCTTGGTTCTTTCGGTAAAGTCACGTAGAAGGGAAACAATAAAATAATAAAAATATAAAACAATAAAATTCTCACGACGTTTCGACTGCAACACAAGCAATCATCATCAGGTGTGAAAACCACAACAAGAAAATTTGAAAAAAGTGGCGTTTTTTTAACGTTAGCACCACGGAGAGCGATTTGGCAGTTATTCAGATGGACGAGTCCATCTATGTTCGGAAAAGAGGAGGGGGGAGACGAAAATAATGGATGCGGTCTGAAAGCCACCGTAAGCGTGAACAATCAATTGAGACCCGAAATGGTTTATCAAATCCTTCCAATGATTGCTAAGCCAGAATCCATCTTCTCGGTTGGAATTGTCTCTGTGTTTGTATATGTGGATAGCCTCATAAACGAATCTCTCATGGTAGCCAGATGGCTTGCAAAGAACCGCTGTCTTGGAGAAGTCAATATCATGTGAGCCTACTGAATTATAACAGTGATCTGCCATGGCCGAGGTGTTGGTCCTATCGTGTTTAAGGTCTGCTTTGTGTTCACGAATGCAGTCCAAGACATGTCGTTTGGTTTCTCCAATGTAACTACTACCACAGAGGCAACTTAGTTTGTAGACACCAGGGTACTGTATGTCCGGAATCCATCTTTTACAGACGGAACCAGATCACGGATTTTAAGTAATGTGTTGAATCGGACCTGGATCTTGTGTTTATTCAAGATTTTGGAGATCTTTTTTGTGATCCCCGCAATGTAGGGTAAAGAGATGGTTTTGAAAGGCTCCTCAAGAGGGTCCTTCAGTGAACTCAAGCACGTACACCAAGCTCTTAAGGCTAATGGTTACTCCGACTACACCTGATGATGATTGCTTGTGTTGCAGTCGAAACGTCGTGAGAATTTTATTGTTTAATATATTTATTATTTTATTATTTCCCTTCTACGTTACTTTACCGAAAGAACCAAGAATATTAATATCTTATTGCTACTTTCCCTTTTTTTCAGATAGTGTGCTTGTAGTCGCAGGTGGCTCGTAAAAAAAAGGTTGTGTGTGGCCTCGGGGCCAGAGTGAGCAATGCAGTGTGCATACAATTCAAAACATGACTAACATGAATGTTGGTGCCCACCTATGAACAAAACAATATACTCTTCCATATGCAGTGTACTCGAATTAGCTTTGTACAGAAAATTGGTAATTTTACCGACAAGTGTCATTTTTATCATTAGACCTCCTTTGCCAGTACCAAAATATAATAGGGTTTTTCCCCTTTTTTCTGGCAACAAAACTGAAACCTTTTTACAAGGATTCATGTCTGCATTAACCACAATACCTGCAGCTAAAATGCAAACGAAAAACATACTATGATAATATATGTGGCATTGTCCTTGAAACTGATTGGTCCACACCAAGGGACGGCTTTCTTTTGAGCCTCGACCCAATTGGTGCTCGACCACGACGCCAAAAGGCGTCATCTGGTCGCCATCTGGTCGAGCACCAATTGGGTCGAGGCTCAAAAGAAAGCCGTCCCTTGGTGTGGCCCAATTAGTTTCAAGGACAATGCATATATTATCATAGTATGTTTTTTGTTTGCATTTTAACTGCAGGTATTGTGGTTGATGCAGACATGAATCCTTGTATAAAGGTTTCAGTTTTGTTGCCAGAAAAAGGGGAAAAACCCTATTATTATAAGTGTCATTTTGTTTGTTACTGTCATGATTTGACAGTTTTTTTAAATGAGCTCCTAACTCTACAAACTTTTTGAGCAAACACTGCAGACAAGAAGAAAAACCAATGAGAGGTATCCTCAACCCAGGTTAATTTAATGTCATGGCTGAAAACGCGGCAAGTGCAGTGACATGGTGGTGTACTCGTGGCACATTTTCACTGTTGAGTTAGAATATGGAACTCATCTTCTCCAACCATGTGGTGGGGCACGTGTGTTTGTGGGGGCACAGGTACAAGCACCACTGTGGGACCGGCCTTCAACCCCGGACACCGGAGAACGCAGTCTGAAGCAGAGCGGTGGCTCGATGAGGTCGCCAAGTCCACGCAAAACCAGAAGCAACCACATGGGCAGGTGCTGCCCCCCGGGGTCACGCCACCCCATGGCCTGTCCCCTACGCAAATGCAGCCTGTTGGGTCATTGCCAGGTGGGGTACCCTCTGCTGCGTTTGCCATGCAACATCATCATCATCATTACCAGCCAGTGGCGGTGGCAGCAGCAGCAACCTCTTTCCCAGGCCACTTTACGGTGAACGGTGGTGGCCAGCAGCAGTACAGCACAGGGCCGACACCCAGTATGACGCCCTCGCAGATGGTGGTCAGCGCGTTCACGGTCGCAAGTAATCCCGGGGCGGCAGCAGCAGCGGTGGGACAGCCCACACAATCTCTGTCTCAATTCAACAGCAACCTCAACAATTCAACGCAGGCTGCTAAGCCCAGTTTGCCTGCCGGTGGCTTCGGTGGGAATGCTGCGTCCGCCTTTACAAATGGCAATGGGGTTTCGGCAGGCGAAGACCAGTTTGAGGCGCAGTGGGTTGCGCTGGAGACCAGGCATAAACAGCAGCAGCACAATCCCACTCAGCAGCAGCAGCAGCCGCAACGCTTTACCCCGTCTCCGACAAACCCTTTCAGCAGCGAGGTTCAGAAGACTTTCGAGATTCGCATCTGATTATACCGTTTCCTTACCCTTGGCACTCATGTCCATGCTGCATCAATTTTTAGTTCCAATTTTCTTAATTTGCTTAAAGCTTCTCTTTTAAAAGAATAACAGCGGCTTGGGATTTGTAGGTTCTTTAACAGTTAAGAACATTAAGGCAGTAGAGAGATGATAGAATGGCACAAAACCTCTGGTATTATCAAACAACAATTACAATTGTCTTAAACCGAAAAAACCAACACACACAAACCCATATCTTAAATGATGACATAGCACAGTTTTATTTTCTTCGTGCCTCTTGGAAATGCCATTGTAGCTTTTGACAGAAAGTGCTGTTTGTTTTATAACTGTAAAAATAAATGTTTCAAAATGGTGCAGCGTTAAAGAAATGTTAGGATGCCCAGTGACCGTTTGGGGTCGGGTGAGTTATCAGCCATGGTTACTTATTCACAAGTGTGTGTAGTCACTAGATATCTTTTTTACAGTTCACGGACATTGATCAATGTATGATAGCAAAGCCTGTACTCGCGCAGGGTAATGCCTGCAATTATTGCAGTGCAAATGATACATTCGAGTCTTCTCATATTTTTCTTATTATTTTAGAATTTTTAATTGTCTGCGTAGAAGCAATGAATGAGTTATCTGTAAAATGTAAACAAATTTACCAATTTATACACCAAACTATACCATTTGTCAAAAAAATGCCGTTATCTTATTATAACTGCAGAAACATGTCCTTGTGTAATTATATAATGGGCTTGGGATAAATTATAGAATTAGCCTTCTCTACTGTTGACCTTTAAACTTAGTTAACATAACCTGACCTTTTCATAATTAGATTGACAATGATCGTAGCATGGTTATTTATATACTGTATTGGGTGTCATAACTATTTAATTTTCATTTACCCTTCCCATCAGTAACTTTTTAACACTCGCTTTATACTTTTTAAACAGAGGTACAAATTTATCACAGCTAAAATTAGGCCTATTTTAATAAAAATGTTACTTTGGACAAATGCGTTTAAAGGGCATGGCCACTTTGGTTTGTGTACGTGTATATATTCGCCTAAAGAAAACAATTGAAATTTATTAGATACGCATTATAATGGGTCTCTTAACATGGTCTGTAATTACATTTATTGCAGTTTTTTTGCTGCATCTTATTTTATTAAAGTGAAATAGACTATAAATTTAGCACTCACACTTTCTTTCTGGGTAATGCAAACAGCTTTGAACAAAAAGTGCATTATTGCAATGAAATGTTTCATTTACTGTTCATAAAAGAAAAGAAAAACATTGTTCAAATGGATATATGAATGAAATAGTATATTTCTCTTTCGTTATAGCATTTACATCTTTAGCCATTCATGGACATTGCAACAGTGGCGTGATAGTGGAGGAGGGATAAACAGCTTAACACATGACATGCTGTGGCCCAGTTGTTTCAAAGTATAACAGGGTCTTGAGAAAAGAGTGTCTTGTCCATTGAAGGTTCCACTGCACCATGCGAATGATCGCTGGCAACACAAAGCGGTGTGATGCAGGCAGGCGGAACACGGGTGCGTACGAGTGCACAGCCCATGGCGCTGCGCAGCTGTAACAAGGGGAACTTTGACACAATGCAGTCCGGGTGAACATTAACCCCTTGTTGATGGAGACCCTTGTTCAGTGTCATTAAGAGAACGTTGTCCAACCTACATGGATTTATTGGCAAGCATTGTCATGATCGTCCCTATGCTGAACACGTGTGTGTGTGTGTCACGTGAAAAAGCGCTATTTTTACATCTTAATTTGCCAAAATGTGAAGTTAACTGCATAAACTACTGAGTTAGATTATATATGCAGGTGATGGGATTGGATGAGCTTTATTTCTTGTGTAATTCTACAGAATATCTTGGTAAAGGCACTGCTAGTGTAGTTTTATAGGTATAATGTTCATGCAGTGATTTTTAGGTTTGCTGTTGTGACACTGATGACAAAGCCGACGCTAAAAAAATATTTTTATGAGTGTGATTCTAAAACGTACAGCGTATATGTGCCCGATACAGTAGATTTGAGGTCATGTGGGTGTTTAGGTGAAATTGCTAACTTTTTATATATTTTGATACAAAAATATATATCCCTATAAAAAATGTCAAAGGCCTTAACTGCTGTATGTGGTACAGTCAGTTGCAGATTAAAATATTTCTAACTTTGTTAGGACATGATTTTAAAAAAGTTTGTCACCAAAAAAACCAACCTAAAGTTTAACATTTTAACTATTGTGCTGGCCCACGGGTTTATAACACGACGTTGTGGTGACATACACTTAGAAACTTGAAGGGTTATTTGGATGTCCATTGTATTTCAGGTAAGCCAATTGTGTAAATCGTGGATATGAAATGAATTCATTTCAAATCGGACACTGAAATCTTACAATTTCAATACACGAATTTTCTACATTCTAACAGGGTTCCACAACTTGGCAGCAGAAAAAAATATAGGTGTTGCATTAAATTTCGTTTTTTAATCGAAGAGATGTTATATGACACACCGTTATTGTTCGCTGGCTTTGTAAAGACCCTTTCACACTAGTCAAGTTGTTTTCTTTACATGCAATGTGTCGTGGAGACATTTTCAGTATGGAGCAAATTAGACTTGTGTGTGGCATTAAATACTGTTTTATCCTTGGGAAATTGTGATTTCAGACCGCCTTTGATGAACTGTGTCCTGGCTTTATGCCGTTGGTGGTGGCTGGCCATGTATTGATATCTGCATTGCACGGATTTTCGGAATTCCATCGTGCACCGTTTTAGCTTGTCCCAAGTTGCACACGTTACAGGCCACAAATCTTTCTTTGCTCCTGATAAGAGAACTTGCCAAGTGTGTGAAGGCCTTATACAGTGTTTTTTTACTCTTACCTCACCTGTAATCAGTTAATGATACTAATACGATGGATTTTATGTAATACAAGAATCGATGTTTATAAAATGAAACGTACTGCTGTTTTAAAATTGCTAAATTGAGACAAATCCTAGTACCCATGAGTTAAAATCGTTTTTCAGCATTCTTGTTAAGTATATCATACAAACCACTTTGCGTACTTTTATGGGTGCATGTGCTCTTACAAGCTTCTGTATTTAATGGCAAAGTATTTAGAGCAGTCCAGACATTCAAAGAATAAACAACTTTGAAATCCAGTGTACTTGTTTCATGTCCATGGTTGAAATTAAATAAATGTATATTTTGCCACTTGTAATTTGTACTCTGAGCTAAACCTCGGCATCTTACAACAACAACGCCCGGTTGCTCTTGCAAATCGTTGATACTATGTACATACACTCGTCTGAGGCCTTGTTCACTTTGGGCTTGTGAGCTTGTGGTGATCTCATTAGTTTTGTTGGAGTGTGAATCGCAATGAAAGCGTTTTTCTTCACCAACTTTGGTGTTGAGAAAATGCGACCACCAGGTGGCAGTGTTAAAACACAACTGAGTTAAGGACATGGAGTGTCTTGCATGAAGGTTAAACACATTTTACATTACATTTGAATGGTATTGAGCATGCATTTTTTTAAAAATAAAAGGCCCTTGTCCTCCGTTGAAGAAAATCCTCACCTGCGGATTTCTAGAACAGGATGTTTCAACTGGAAATGTGTCAATTTCTCCACAGAAAGTTAAACTTTGGGAAGGTGTGCAGTGGTTCTTTTGGTAAAGTCACGTAGATAGAAAAAAATAAAATAAAAATAAAGTGAATAAAAATATCACGACGTTTCGATCGCAACACAAGCGGGTCGTCATCAGGAGCAGGGAGGGCAAGCTGTTTATAAAGGTTTAGAGATGGGCGGGGCAGCTAATGTTAATGTAGGAGAAGGCTGCGATACCGGCAGTAGGTCTACACCAATCAAAACAATGCACCTCGCTCCACACAGCCACGCTGCTGACGGTGGAGGTTGACAAGAAAACACAAATCGAGTCATGACCCAAAGTGGTTGGTGACATATTTCCAAGTCAAAATTTGGGAAGGTGGTTGAACTATACTGGTGATGAGTTGTTTGCAGAGAGAGAACTCTTATCAGCAAAACAATTGTGGTTTTCCCACCTGATGATGATTGCTTGTGTTGCAATCAAAACGTCGTGATTTATTTTATTTTATACCTACGTGACTTTACCAAAAGAACCAAAGAGTATGGTTTCCTGCAGTCACGAAAGCTTCAAATCAAGATTGAACATTGGTAGTGTTCGCTAAAATCCTTAACGTCTCGGGGTGTAGTGGTGGTAGTGCAGTGTTTAGCGAATTAACACTTTTATCCTGGCGGTCCCAGTCCCAATTCCCAACCATGGCTTTCTGAAATCTAAACCAGTCCTGGATAGTTCCTGTCCGCCTTCACCAACCCGTAATGACCCATTGCATAAGTAAATGGCTACAAAAGTGAAATGTGAATTGCCGTAATGTTGGGAATACTGTTCATACACTGTATTTTTACCATATAAATAAGCAATGTTTATATACATGTGTATGTATGTATGATCTAATGTCTGCCTTGGTTTAAGTTTAACTTGCACACATTTTTATGTTTTGTTTCTCGTAGAGGGAGGACAGGCTCTGGAAAAGCATTGCAGCTTTTGGCTACTGACAGCGAAGCGACTGAATTATTGTTTCCGATTTCATTTTATTGGCTTCTTTGACCCTTCTGGGAAGCCTTTCCTAAGCTATCTCGGCAGTCGCGACCTGAAGTTTGGGAAAGTGTCACCGTTATAAATTCTACTTCTATATTTTTTTTATAACCGTGATCCTTTCCACCTTTCCCCCTCCTACAAAAAATATCAGCTTTCACATTGCATTTACTGCTCAACTTAATACAGCAAGCCCCAGTATCTCTTTGGTCCTCGGTGATTGCCCTTCGTAGCCGAGGGTCCGTTTCATTCGAGCAGTGACATCCATTGGGCCATCAGGCTGCCCCCGAGCGCATGGCTCGCTGGCGAGTTGCGCGTCTTGACGGCGCGTGCGCGGTGCAGCTGGCACAGCAGAATCTCGTGTAATATGCGTTGTGACACAGGCTGGCCTGCACCACCAGTTCACAGTTGGCCAGCTCTGGCCGGTCAATGCAGGACCTCTCGCTGGCAGTGCTGGCGGTGCCCAAGAGCCCAGCAGACGCATCGATGGCGGCACCACCACCAGCATCACGAGTATCGCCACCACCAGCATCACCGAAAGAAGCACCGTTGACGATACCACCACCACCATCACCACGAGGTACAGAAGCAGACGTGTCTGCAAGAGGCAGGCGGAGCGACGGAGAGTTTTGCAGAACAGGAAATAGAAGTAAGAAGCATGAGAATTTTTGCAAACGTGACCCTGCGTTGTTACGCAATAGCCTCGGCTTATTAATGCTTTTTTATAGTCGTGCATTTGAATTAAATCACGTGACTTGGTGTTTAAACAATCTCTTTATTGCTAAGTGCAGACTTTTCACAAACTTGTAAAAACAGTAACATGCAAAATTAAAACTACCTATGATTACACAAGTGTATAAAGTAAAAAGTAGTAGCTACAACATGAAAAGCATGAGTGTTTACCAGCATTAAACTGTTAATGGATCCAGTTTCACAATTTGGCCCCAAAGGTCTGCAGATAAGTTTTCTGTCATAATTAGCCTTTACATCGGTTTAAAAATGTGCATAGGTATTTGAAAGTTTAGGAAACTTTCAAGGTTTTCCCATTCCAAGACATTACTAATGCTCCACCACACTTAGCGGTTGGGCTCAGACATTTTTCTTTCGCAGCACGTGCAGTGTGAAGCAATATTTCTACACCCCCTTCCCAGAAGAGGTGCAGAGATTCAAATTCTGAAACCACACATGGTTTAAATCCGCCTCATGCAACGAAGCATATATATGCATAAAAACATTGTACCAAAATAATGGCGAAAATTATTTCGCCGTTAAAGTTTCGTGTTTTTAGGGGTCAATGACGTGGGGTTTCACCAATATCAAGTGCAATTCTGTCGTAAAACTGCACCATTTAATACACCAATATAAATAAACTTTGCATGCAAAATTCTCGATTACCATTACCCATAGATCGCAATGCAGGACCCCTTGTAAAAAAAACCTTGAATAGATGATGTACTTCTGGAGAAATGCAACTCTGTTATGGAATGGTGAGCCATTGCTCATTAGCCCTATCAAATCATTTTTGAAACCGAACTTAAGTTTTATAAATTTGGTATGACGTGTCAACAGGTAAGCTTAAGCTGCTGGTTGAAAATGTGCAAAATCTACACACTCCAAGGAAGTTTTTATTACGTCATTTCTATTTTTGGGATGTTAGAAAGATCACATAGATTGATCAGAATGTGATTTACTCCAAACTGAATGGTTATTGGTCAATTTAGTCCAGTTGGTATTCAGATACCCTCAGTATATTAAGCAAGAAATGCATAAACCATAACCATGGTTTGTGCATGATAGACCATCCAAGCAGTTCATGTGGGAAGCCTGTCTATAGAACTATAAATGTTCCAGTAGTAACAGTACAGCAGGAAGGTTGCATATGTACAAGTACGTGACACATAATGCTGAGTGTTATCTCCTGATTTCCACACACAGAAGGTCTAAGCCAAACATCACAAATAAAACCATCCTGAGAACAGTACTCCCTGAAGAACTCGGTTGAGACTTTCCTGAGTAAATAACACTCGCTGTCTCCTGCGCACCTCTGTAAGTAAACGTTCCACACGTCTGCGGACTCAGTAGGAGTTGGAGAGAGGAAGACTTTGGACAACATGGAAAGGGCCTTGAGGGTCACGGCTTCACTGGCCAGTGGTGAGGTGGCGTGTTCACAGAATCCATCGTGCCTATCCTTCCGTCCCTTGATCTGCCCTTCCGAACTCTCTCTCTCTCTCCATCCTCTCCATTCATCTGTCTGTCCTTTCCTTCTGTCTGGCCATCTGGCCTCCGTCCATCCTCTTTCCTCTGTCAGTCCATCCCTTCTCTCCGTACAAATGTCCTCTATGTCCATCTGTCCGTTCACCCTTCTCTGTCCGTCCATTCCATCATCTCCATCCGTCTGTCCCATCATCTCTGTCCGTCCGTCCTCTCCGTCGGTCCATCCTCTCCGTCGGTCCATCCTCTGTCCATTCGTCCATCCATGCGATCGTCATCCTCTCCGTCCCGCTGCCCACCCACCCATCCACCCACCCACCCATTCACTCGCTCCTCGCCAAGGCTATTGTCCTAGCTTTTGGCCGGGGAGCCCGACCTACCCTGCACGGTGAGGTGCGCACTGGCGCTGACGGAGCGGGAGCCGCTGTACGCGTTGCACGTGTAGCGGCCGGCGTCGCTGCTGTGGACGTTGCGCAGCACCAGCATGCCGTCGCCGGACACGAGCACGCGGCCTCCGCCGACCTCCCCGGATGTCAGCGACACCCCGTTCCTGACATAAACGGGAACACCCCCCACGACACACTTGAGTCGGTGGAAAACATTTACACATTCCTGCGGCAAAAATTCTACAATTCCATTACTTCAAGGTCCTCGATGGACTCGGCCCCGCCTGCCTACGCTGTGCTCTCGTGCTGGTCTACTCCCTTCTGGTGTCCTCTGATCCAGCAACCAATGCCTGAATTGGCTCCGACTGGACTGCTGCCCTTCCTGTCTGGAATTACCTTCCTCTGGCCGTTCATACAGCTGATTACACCCCCCCCCCCTTTTATTAACGCTCCAGCTTTTAAGCCCTCTTCTCCTCCACCTACGATGTATTTTCATCGATCCAAGTGTCTTATTTAATGCAGGTCTCTTCCTAACGTATGCCTTCAACTTCTTAAAAATATATCCAACCTCTTCCCTGTGATAGTCCAATGAACATATCTCCCTTTGTGTAGAGCGTCTCAAGATGCAGTCACATTTAAACACTTCATGCATTCAAAGTGTAATTGAATTGGGTATGTGTTGTAGATCAAGACATCCCCTGCCACTCCATTCTTGCTCCAATATAGCCTGCCCTTGCTAGGAATTGAAAAAAAAACAATCCAGTTGTATCCATGAAGTAAGTAATGTTGCATCCCCCTGAGACGTGTATTGTCGCGATTCCAGGTCACGATCCAATTCAAGAACAGTCATTGTAGTTTAATTTGAACTCATTTGTATTGTTTCATTGTTATCCACTAGTTTCGCCAAAATTTAACAGCATATCTGTATTTTATTTCCACAAATGATAAACTATTGAGTCTTACACACTATTTTTTATGCATGTATCTTTAGTGAAATAATAGATTTTAATCGATGGATTGATGCATCATCAGCATCATCATCATCATATCGTGCCTGTCTTAACGCTATTTACGAAAAACAAAACATAGCCCACGTGGAATGAGCCACCTACCTGGTCCAGATGACATTAGCTTTCTTGTCGGACACGGTGCAGGGAAACGTGGCCTCGTCGCCTTCTTCCACCTCGACGTCGCCAGGCGGCTTCACGATGGAGAGCACTCCTGCCCGCACGCGCGCGCACCCAGGACGACAAATGCTGCAGACTCGCTCACCGCACGGCATGACGGCACTTTCCAAAACAACTTGTGCTCGCTCTTCGCGAACTGCGTAGACAAGTGAGCGATGGTTCCGCATGAACGGAGCTGCGCAGATTGGTTGAAGAAGAAGAAGAAGTAGTAGGAGGACCAATGCCACACCAGGCTGAAGCATAAAATCAGTATACTTCATGGGCCAGATTTAGACAAATGGCCAAAACACTTCGACTTGGCGATTTGTGGCATTGATGGCAAGAGAGACACTCGGTGCATTTTCACCAAAAATAGGATGAGAAACATTCGCCCACACGTGAATATAACTCAATAATATTATATATTTTTTTATTGCTGACTGTATACTGATTTTAAGGTAGTATTTATTAAATTCCTACTTCAACATAACAGGTTCCGTTTGCAAAATGTGCCCAGCTTTATCCAATTTCATAATAAATGTGGGGGTAAGGGTAACTTGTGCTTTTTGTTCTCGATTGTTTTTTACAAACTTGACGGATTGCTGATGAAAGTTTGTGGAGTGACATTGGCAACATCAGGCAACCTCGTGTGAAGCGACAACACAGCTGCGCAAAGCAGTCTGGGTATTTGCCAGATGGCAGCGAACTGTATGTCACGTGCTATGGAACAGAACTGTGTAGTGAAGTTCCACGCAGAGGATTAAACCTGTTCATTGGTGATACTGTATTGGCAGTGGTGTACAGCACCATTAACAAAAACATTATTAGTCACATTGAAAGGAAACAAATATAGAATAAGAAATGTTTTTGGCAATCACGGATTTTTTTTTACAGATGAAGCCCAATGAGCTATTGGCTATTTTTCAGAGGTGACCTGACCACAAGTGATAGCTCATCGAAGTGGCTTATATCACATGTGGGAATTTATAGTAGCAGCTAAATAACCTAAATGTATGTTCCTAAATGTGGAGGGCAAAACCTGGAAGACCGAGTGAAAATTCCACGCGACCCCGGGAAGAGAGATCACGCAAACTACAAATATACAACAGGCATCGTAAGGGTTGGGATCGAACCCACGACCTCCTGCCTAGCAGGCGAGGGAGATGACATCTCATAATCATCACTCTTTCACCCTGGACTCTTTATGTGCTGATAAAGAAGGACCATTTCCCAAAACGTCACCTATTATATGCCACTTTTAAGGAAATGTTATTGACGAATGTGAGTTTTTTTGTTACAATTACAGAAGGTTAGCTGAACAGATGGGTGATACGTGCCTCGCATGCAGAAGAGGGAGTAATCCGAGTGGGTCGATGTGAAAATGTGAAAGCAGAAATCCTGACATGGAATACGTATCTGCCCTGAAGAATGTTGCACTTTTGTCATGAAGGTGTTACAACACCGATGGGGCAAATGGCATCAGTGTGGCAGGGGAGTAGCTTGAAAATCAGCGTGAGTTCAATCACTTCACTGTTCACATTCTGTGGAACTAAAAGCACACGTTAACCTTGAGCCACCCTTGTAAGCGTGTATTGCACTGGAGCTTTTTCTCCATGAAAAGGCAACAATAATTGTTGCGAAGGACACAAAGTGACTTCAACACATTTGATTCCAGTTAGAACACAAATGCATGTGTGCAGTGTATATAAATACACACAAACATATAAGACTTAACCTCCAACCTGTTATCTTGAGATTCAAAGAATTTATTCAAATACTCATTTTTGAACTTGAAGTTCACATACGTGACACAGAAAGGGGGTCACGATGCTTGTGATGTGACCTTTGAGTGGTGTTGTGTTCACAGGTGTAGCTCACCTTTACAATTGCATGCAGACAGGCAGAACCTCTTGGCTGCTATGCTGGCTAAACCTACTTACATTACAATCTGGCCTTGAACCATACTATGCATCTACACGTCGACATGCTTTTGAATGGGATGAGCATTGGGACATAATAATCAAAAGGGTGATTAAATTTGCATTGACTGCATTGTAACTCACGTGTTTCTAAGAGTGCCGTTATTTTCGAGAGAGGTGTTGTCTCGCCACACTGTGGCGTTTTTAAATCTCAGGAGAGGCTCTTAAAGTAGCTGCTGATACATTTTGTCTCGAGATGTACTGCATGGAGGTGCAGTATAAATGATGGCGATGATGATGATGAACGAGTATTGGTGAAGCTTCTGCACGATATCGCCGTTCGCAAGTCCGTCGATATCCAATGTGTGCACGACCTTGACCTTTGACCTTCAACGTCAGGCTGGACCGCCTGCGTGCCGCCCCGAGCCTCGTCTCCAGCTCGCAGGCGTAGGTCCCCGCGTCGCCGGGCACCACCGCCGAGATCACCAGCGAGCCGTCCGCCAGCTGCCGAAAGCGCCGGCCGGTCGGCGCCCTCCCCGAGCCGTCCCTCCAGACGGGGCGGGGCGCCGGCTCGGACGCGGCGTAGCGGCAGGGCAGCCGCACGGACGAACCGGCGCGCGCTTCGACCACCGCGGCAGAGTTATCGGCTTCCCTGACCGGAGGCTTTTCAGCCGACGAGGTTGTGGCTTAGTATAAAAAAAACAACGACATGAGCCAGAGCGGGTTACGGGAGCGGAGGGGGGCCTCCGGTTACGACGCGGACGCAACGGCGCCAAGTGGACGGAGAGAGGAGATGGAGAGGCGGGGGATGGAAACGCTGAAAACACCAAAAGACACCCTTCCAAATGCTCTCCACGCATGCAAGAGTTGAAAATGCCCACCACCAAGGTCATTTGACATCCAGAAATGACATGAGAAAAAGAAGTCGATGGATTAAAACAGAATTGGTGACCGTCATATAACGTCACGAGCACATATGAGGTCATGTGTGTTGACATTTGCGTGGATTCACCCATGATGCTCAGTTGCACCTGGCGGAACTCCTGCTGTTGCCCATTGCTGGCGCGGCAGGTGTATATCCCAGCATCCTCCTCTTCCACCGCTTGGATGTAGAGGGAGCCGTTGAGCAGCACAACATACCTGGCCCAACGACGTGAAGCCCGCAGCGATATTCGTGAGGCGCAGGTCACGACTTAAATAATCATGATTGTCAACAGCCCTGGTCTATCTACTGCTGGATGAAGGCCTTCCCATGCTGCCGCCACCCCGTATCGTGTTACGACGTCACGCCCCGCTCACTCCTGCACATGAGCTGATCTCTTCCCTACGTCTACACCGGGGTTGTCCTCTCGTGTGCGTTCTCTTCTTTGGTCGGCATCCCAACATCAGTCTCGTTCGACGACCATCATCATCATCCTTCCTGGCAATGATGTCAATATGACGGAGACAGTCACCGTACATCAACTGGGCTTTAACATCTGCCACGTCGCTTCAGCCCTGTCCCCTGGCCCCACATTGCACCCCCCCCCCCCTCACCGGGAAGGGTCGATGGCTCTGCTGTCTTTCATCCACTCCAGCGCGACGCCGGGCGAGCCCTGGGCACGGCACAGGAGCTCGGTCGCGTGCCCGAGAGGGCGCTCCACCGCCGTGGGGTCGTCCCGCTCGATCCACAGGCTGCACGCGCCCAGCACGCGCACGGCAACACGTCGACGCGCAGCCTCGCCACGGTCTCGCCGCAGCAAGGCAAGTCTCTAACCCTACAACACCTCTCGGATGCACGGTGGTCCACGCATCCAATCAATATCCAGCCTCAAGCCTGCTTAGCTTCTGAGATCAGTTGGGTGCATTCCGAGTGATTTTGGTCAAAGGTCATAGACTTATTTGTGTAGAGATGTGTAATTAAGAAAACGAATTATCGACTATCAGCCTGGTAACCCTATTTCATAGTTCTCTCATGGCTCAGAGTGCATTGTCTTGTTTTCATTTTGTGCACTTGTTATTCAAATACTAATATAAATATTAAATTGCTGATTTGGTGTACTTGACTTGTACGATTCATTGCACTGCTGTAATTGTTATGTCTTCAAGCCTGTAAATGTGGGTTCATGTTCCAGAGATTGGAATTGTACAGCAGTTGTATTTTATTTAAAATATACATTTGTTATTTTCTCCAGGTTAATCGCAATTGTATTATCAGTTACGTCATGAGAAGACGTAGCATCCATTCAGCACTTTATCAGTTCTAGTGCTAGACAACATCCCGTGAAAGGAGACCCTCCACTACTCCTGGATTCCCATCATGTGACCTCTTCTCCACACGAGGGGCACTGCACTTTTATGCATGCCCATCTACAGAAATGTGTGTCTCATGTCTGACCGAAATAAGTTCATCTCAGAGCTGGAATTTGTGCAAATTAAAGGAAAAAAACAAATTTAATGTGCTTTTTTTGGGTGCAGTCATCGGTGACATTGCTAAAACCATAAGCTCTCCGCATTTGAACATCTGATTCGGTAATGAGCGGCTGAAGCCCTAAATTTGAACTTTGGGTCTCGGCGGTGCTGGCTCATCACTTTGACCCCCTGGGCCACCCAGCAACCACAGCAGGGATATTTCAAATAGATTGGTCTGCGTGGCATAAGCTCGTGCACTTCCAACGCTTCCCATGGTGTTCATGCAGTCTGCAACTTTCGTCTCCCTGGGCTCTCTGTTTATGTGCCATGAAGAAGAGCTATTGCCTGAAACGTTGGCAATAACATGTTTTTTTCTTCTGCTTTTTACGCAGTGTTGTTGACGAGTGTCAGTTTTGTTGTTAATTCCACTTGAGAACCAATACCAAATACAGCATCACCAAACAATCTGTTACATTGCATTGAGTCTAAATTCACCTGTAGACTGGCTGACTGGGCCTGTCTCCGCTATCTGGCTGAGGCTTGTGCTCAGCTTCCCGGTGATGCGTCTCAAAGGAATGCTCCTCTTGCTGAATCTGTGGTATATGGCACATTAGAAATATTATTACAAAATGTAGGTGATTCCAAAATAAAACGGTTTACTGATGCACAATGCACACTTAGGGCACAATCCACCACAACAGAGAGCAGTAAATAAGTCAATATACAAAAATTATATAACATTTATTTCCATTAGTTCATGGGTCTTCTCAACCAATGTTCCAGCAGAAACCGTTCGAAGAGGCCCCAATCTGCAGTCTCATCGCCAGTTCAAACTTTTATTGACTCCGCTTTTTTTGTTTACTCGCTAAGTAAATATTTAACTTCCCTCAATAAATTTACATAATAAGTAATGTTAAATATAATCCAATGTATGCATCCATGAAAACCTCACTACATCTCAAGGATATATATTTTTAAGGAGTATGTATGTATGCATGTTGAACCTCTTTGGCACCGCAGGTAGCCAACCGTGCTCATCGGAGGTGTGGGTCCTGCATTGTGATGCTTGGTCAGTTGCTTTACGAGGAGGTAACAAAGGCCCTCAATGAAGGGTCGATGAAGTCACTTGCCGTCTTACAGCAACCTCTTGAGTTATCTTGCCGTTTCTAATCGCCATCCTCTGCCCTCTCTATCACATTCTGGCCATCTCATTAAACGTCCTGAGATAATCACATTGTTACACTCTTCATAAATCCAATACTATTGCATCACACTGCAATTGAGAGGCGCTCTGGTCAAAAACATTGATCACCCATAATATCTTATTGTCTAGAATGTGGCCTTTTGTTGAGAGCAGGCGAATTAGGTGGGTGAATTGAATTAATTGTGCTGGCCACGTGTGGAGATGACACACACCTGGATTTGTAAACTGTTGCAATAAAGCTTTAATAGGATATCTTATATTCGAGTGGCCATCTCGGAGGTACAAAATAAAGTTCATCATGGGAAGAAGAAACGTCTTACAATACTGGAAGAGGGGAGAGGGAAGAACTGCATGTAAGGCCCATGGTGGTGCCATGCTGTAGAGGGCGGTGTCCATCTTGTCCGCTCTACCTCTCAGGCCTCTCTGTCATTGTGTTATGAATTAGGGCCATTGCCCAAAAACGTCACTGATTATATATATTTTTTTCCTTTAAAGGCCACACAGCGTGATGGACGAGCGTACTGAGTGTGTTGTTATTTTGGCCTGTGCACAACTGGCCAATGAAGCAACACCAAACGTGGTACATGTAAATGCACTTTTATTTGAGTGGTGCATTATTATGTGACTGGAAAAAACACCTGGGAAGACTTGTAGATTTGTCAGAAGTGCTACCTCAAAAAGAGGATGATACTGGGAAAACCAGGACAGGTGGCAGCTCTGTTATAAATTGTTTATATATTACGGATGGGAAAGATCAGAATTTTAGATTTTCACAGGCAATTTTAGATCTATTTTCAGATTTGTATTAAGTACTAATTTAATGTGTCATCATGCTAACAGCAGTGGCCTCACCCGATGCCAGATTATTCCACTTTTTTGTGGGAAAACCACAGAAGGAACGTGATGCAAGTGACAATTTCTTGTGATTGATCATTTATGGATAAATTCAAATTTCCATCTCGGCCTGATTTTTGGACTTTTCCAATTAATACAAAATTAATGGCAACAGGTCCCACATTTACATGCATACATTGGTACCCTGCTTCACGTGGGAGACACGTTGCTGAATGATGCGCCGACGAATATCGAAACGACGTAAATCAAAGCGATTCACAGCGTTGGTGGAGGCGACGGCTGAGAGGGGACCCGTACAAGAAAGGACGGGCGATCCTGTCACCGGCAGAAGTGTGGCTTGAGGTGATGCAAATCGTGTCGCGGTATTAATAAAGCGACGACATATTTTCGAAACGACGTAACGGGGCGGAGACGTAAATCGGGGAATTACTCTGCGCGTTTTTAGGAAGCCGCTGGGAGCGTTGCACTTTTGAACCTAGATTGAAAACTCATTTCTTTAGCACTGCTTTTTGCGTTCACACTTTGTTGTCTTTCTCCCGCACCTCCGATTATAGCACGTACGGGTGCGAAATAAGTTCCACATATACACACACATCAGGTGTTCCAGCGTACACCCCGACTGCCCACTACCGCGACGAGACGGCCGCGTCCCATTGCGCCGCAGTGCTGCGGTGGCTCGCCTGCGCCTGGTGGTGGCGGTGGCGATGCGTGGCGGCGCTCTGCGCCCGCCGTGGCTCCTGCTGCCGCTCGGCGGTCTGCGCCGCACACGCCCGCACGCACGCCTCCTCCGAGTCGAAGCGGTTGACGTTGCCGTCGCAGCCGCTGTACCAGAAGCGGTTGCAGGCGCCGTTCGCCGGCACCCAGTACCAGAGCGCCGCGTAGTCGGCGCACGCGCCCCTGGCGCTGGGCAGGCTGCACGCAGGCCGCGCTGCCACCGTCGGTCAGCGTCATTAACTTTCGTCATCATCCACGCGAGCACCAGCATCAGCATTGCTCATCATCATCATCATCATCACCACCACGAACGTCATCGTCAATATGAGCATCATCATCATGAGCATCATCGTGAGCATCATCACAACCGTGAGCATCGCCGTCATCATCATGAGCGTCGTCATCATGAGCAGCAGCAGCAGCAGTAGTATAACTGTCATCACCATGAGTATCATCATGATCATCAAGATGAACATTACTTTCACTATCGTCAACATGACCATCATCATTATCATAAGCAGCAGCATCAGCTTAATGATCACCATCATCATCATCATCACTGTGAGCGTCATGAGCAGCAGCACCATCATCATCATTATCAACATGATCATCATCAGGATCATCATAAACATTAGCATCACTTTCATCATTATGAGCATCATTGACACATTTTAACCATCACTGGAAAGCCTAATGGAGTTAACAAGAAGTTGCCAACGAACACCGCATGAAATACCCAAAGCAAAAGATCCCTGCCTTTGATCATCCGCCAAGCTCATGGGCCACAACCCTAAACTGCATCATCTGCACAAACCGTGGCAGATGCGGAGAGTTTATTCGTACATTTTAAAGTAAAAACTCTCCCGTGTGCGACTATACTGACCCAGAACAGCCATGGATCACATAATGACTTTGTGCCCGATTCACAAATACAAAGGAGGCATCATCACAGAGATACGTTCCGCTATTCCTGACGCAATCATCTGGCTCATCCACCTCAATGTGAAATCATGTGTGTTGCTCTACATCAATATCAGCCATGAGAAGAAGTGTAATCAAACCGATTCGCGGGAGAGAAATGTATTGCTTAAATAATCAGATAGTCCAGCTCTAGTGTGCAGCGAGAGTCATGGGCGCACGGGAGAGAGTCACGTGGATATGGGAGAGACGGCATCATGTTCACCTCCGTCATGGATGCCCGAGCAGCCCTCCCCGTTGGGTCCCTGTGCCGGGGACACGTGGTCAGGGCAGCAGCCGAACCTCTGTCCGTGGCAATCGTCCGCAACAGGAGGATGGGCAGCCCGCTCAGCCGGCTGGAGGAGACATATGTGACGGGATGCGCAGAAACAAAAAGAGGAACTTGGGACGTTTTTTCACCAAGGTGGTGTCGCGAGCCACAGCCAACGTACTCGGCGTATGTTCACAGCGTGCTAAAGTGCCGTAGATATAAGCCACGCGTCTCCAACGTGGTGCGGTGATGTACGCTACGGAGGCAGGGGTTGGTGGGTCATGTAGATTGGTGAAACTCTCAAATCTGCTGTGCCACAAGGTGGCCAGGAGATGGCTGTACCACCAGGGGGTTTGTGATTCCATTCTTGTGGATCTGTCGGTGTTATTTCCATGCATGCTGGGTGGTTTTCTCTGGGTACTCAAGTTTCTGACCCACACGCAAAAACGCTCGATTGAAAAGCAATTGGCCAAAACGTCACGATGAAAAACTCTCCTGGAAATGTCTTGTGACTCAGGGAGCCTTCACTGGGTGGGTGAGTAAATAAACAAATAAACACCACGCAAATGCATTTGTAACATAGTTATCTTGCAATGCTCCTTGGCTGTGAGAAATTAATACTGTACAGACACTCCATCTTCTCCATTATTGCATTTTTTTTCATTTTGAAAGTGGTGGGTGGGTGGGGTGGTGGCAGGGATGGCGGGGGTGTGATGGGGGGGGGTCAGTGTTCACGTGCTGCCGAAATGAAGAGAAGCTGCCCTGAGGCAGTGGCCACCAGTGAGGTGGACACTCGCTCCCTCCCACTGCCACAACTGCAGAGCGCCGCTGCGTGCGACGAGCACCTGGCCGGCTGCGACCGCCGGCTCCCGCGGGCGCTCGGGCTCCCTCCCGTGGGCCTCCTGCCGTCCGGCGGGCTCCTCCTCGGGCCCGTGCTCCTCTCCTCCATCGTATCCCGAGGGGCAGCCTAGGGCATCGGTCCCCCTGGCTGCATTCACGCCATCGGGGCAGCAGCCAAATCTGCCCCGGTGAGCCGGCGGTTAAACGGCGCGCAGTTTAGGAGAGAGAGGGACGCTGCCGCGGTGCAATCGTTCGCCACGCTGGACTTGCAATCCAGAGGTTGCCGGTTCAATTCGTTCACCCTGAGCGCCGGTTTAAACGATGGGGCAAGTTTCTCGGAACCTCTTGCCTCTGTCCACCCAGGCAGTATAATTTGTTAACAGGGTCGATCTGCAGGTCATGTTTCGTGGGGTAAAGTGTGGATACCTCCACCTCTTTCAAGACATTTCGTCGGTGTGGAAGAGTAGGCCAAATGCCATCTTGAGCGTCCTCTATTACCGGCGGCACTTCTGCCGGCAGAGGCTTGAGCAAACAATTGCAGGGCCGCACCTTCACCTTGACTTTTGCCGTGCATGTGGCGGGGTGAACAATGGTCCAATTGGGCATTACTGTACATAGAAGATAAACTCTTATGTATAATCTCAGAAAGGATATCGCTTAAGCATTTCGTATCCGCAGGTGCTATTATGTGGGGATAGCTCCGAGTGACGGCACAAGACCGTGACAAGTGGAGGAATTGGGCTGCCCGGATGTGCCGGCGTCACGGGATGGCCTAAGCTAGGACGCACCTCAGTAAGCGAACGTTTTGGGCTGCCCTGTGCGTTTCAATGTGCATCACGTTGCACCCCGCCAGGTGGTTCAGTGGCTGGCAATCGGGGCTCACGATCAGCAGGCTTGCGAGGTCAAATTGTGGTCGAGGATTGATTCGGCCCATCATCCCACCACCGAATTCAATAAAACGAGTACCATTTTTGTGGGAAATCAGCAGTGGTCCTTTGGATAGACCACCCCTGTCATGGTAACGTGGAGTTTGCACCGCAGGATCCAGACCGTAAACAGCATATTAGCGCGGCCCAACACGTCTTTGAGTGGAAACTAGCTCTTAACTTTTGCAGAGGTCCGGGATCTAAAACGCGAAGCAGTTGACAACAGAGAGAGAGGTATTATCTACCGTAACACATCTTCTACCGTAACACATCTTCTCAACGCTTAGCAGCTGCTCCTCGTTGTATAAAACCCAGAAATCCGACCCCCCCCCCCCACCAAGGTAATCTCCAAAGGATGGAAACGCTAATGAGAACAAGCGCAGATGCAACCATCTCAAGCCTCCAACAGATCCCCACAAAGTAATTTACATTTCCCCGCTCGCTCTTCAAACATTTTCCTGTAGAAAATAATGAGCAACTGCCCTTTTTTGTGTCTCTTTTGACTGCTTAGCCCCGTGTGGAGAGTCAACAAAACATGACTGGGACACGACGACCTAGGATATCAATGGCGATGTAAGCATTCATTCATTGCCATAAATGAACGTGGCCAGCCGTTTTCATGTCAACATTAATTCACGTGGTCAGCCGGGTTAATGGAAGCCGTGCGAGCTCCTCGATGCTTTTAATCCGTAGAGGCTGAAACCCGAGCAGCCAGTGCGAAACGTTTGGTAACACTGAAGCCTCCTGGAGTTGAGAATGCACGGGATCGTTAAAGAAGTGTGTCGTCGTTTGGGATAAATAACAAAAAAAGGAAACGTGTAAGCCTTTCTCCACAGAGGCAATGCTACTTTGTTAATAACATTTAACGGATAGGATGATCAGTAAAAGAAAGGGTGTAGTGATGGAGCAGTAGTAAGCGTGCTGCGCTATGAAACCGGCGACCTGAGTTTGATTTCCGGCTTTGGCTGACATCAGTGGTGAGTGATACCTGAACTGGTCCTCGCTGCTACCCTTCACCAATCCGCACGAAGCAGTTTGGTCTTCTCCCATGTGGATATGAACTGAGTAGGAACTATGGATCCAAGTCTCGGTTGTAAATCCAGCTGCTGGCTTCTGGGCACGACAATTGAATTGCAGTTGTACCCTCGGAGAACACTCTCAGTGACTCGCACAGAGGCCCGTAGACCCACACAGAGAGCCACAGACTCGCACAGAGACCCACAGAGAGCCACAGACTCGCACAGAGACCCACAGAGAGCCACAGACTCGCACAGAGACCCGTAGACCCACACAGAGAGCCACAGACTCGCACAGAGACCCACAGAGAGCCACAGACTCGCAGAGAGACCCACAGCTCAAAGAGATGATGGACTCTGGGGATTTTGTCGTTAATTAAGTATGTGGACCGCTGCCAATGCAGCAGAGTCACCAACTAATTTAGTTTTAAGCTAAGATAGCCACTTGGGTAGGGTTGTGTATGGAATGAACAATAATGCATTGTGGTGTGTCAACCAGTTGTGGATATATTTACTGCAGTGGCTTCGACTTTGGCTGGGAATCTTCTCATGTGAGATGGGGCACTGCTAGCTCAAGAGTTCCAATTAGAAGTGCATTTGTTTTGTGACAAGACACCAAATGACACAATTGGAAAACAATTGTGAGAAACATTTTTTTTTATATTTACCAAATGAATTAATTGCCACATTAGATATCCAATCATGGTTCAACTTGCAAAACAATGAAGGATGGTTGATTTCAACGAACAGGAATGCACCAAATTAATAAATTATTCAGCTTCTACATTTCAAAAGGGAGGTGTAATATATAAACTAAACTACCTTTATTTTATCAGGTAAGGTTCACTGAGCTGTATAGCTCTTTTTCAGAAGCGGCCTGGTCGCAAATGATAGCTCGAAGAAGTGGCTTATCGTGTGGTAATTTATAGCAGCCAAATACTCTCAATGCACGATTCTAAACGTGGAGGGAAAAACCGGAGGAACCGATGAAAAATCCACACGACCACGGGGAGAGAGACGTGCAAACCCCAAATATACAGCAGGCGTCAGGGTCAGGATCGAACCCACGACCTCCTGTATACCAGGCGAGGTAGTTAACATCTCGCCACCGCGGCGCCAATATGGTTGATGTACAGAGTATGATAAAAGCCATGAACCACACGTCTGTAGGGTGCAGCTCGAACTGTGCACATGTTGTTTGTACTCAACATTCCTTAAAATGTCAACAACGATCTGAGCACACCCGGCCTGCACTTTCACCTTGAGTTCGTGTGCCGAGTTTTTTTCAACACCTCAGGGATGGCTGGTATAGACGAACGACTTCAAATGTCCCCAGAGAAACAAGTCAAGAAGTCCGGTGACTTTGGTGGCCGATTAAAAGTACTCCTCATTGATCAATTTCGAGGACATCACTGCCTTCTGTACACCAAACAACAATGTATGTCTTCTTGGTTCTTTCGGTAAAGTCACGTAGAAGAGAAATAATAAAATAAAACATAATAAAATAAGAATAAAATAAAAAAATAAATTAAAATAACAATGTATGTACGTATCCAACCGTTATAATCCAGCGCTGCCCCCGAAATCTCTGGTTCCTGATATTTGGTCGCACATTGTGCATCGACAGACCGAGTCGATTGACTTGGTCGACCGATCGATTTCTGAACTTGACATGGGGGGGAATGGTGTGGCACCTGGTTTGGTAACAGGAGACGTCGGGGCAGCCCTCGCCGCGGTGGCCGTGCGCCGGGTTCCTCCCGTCGGGGCAGCAGCCGTAATAGGAGCCAGCGCAGTCCACTCGCTCGGGACGCTGGTCCACTCGCTCGGGACGCTGGTCCACTCGCTCGGGACGCTGGTCCACTCGCTCGGGACGCTGGTCCACTCGCTCGGGACGCTGGTCCACTCGCTCGGGACGCTGGTCCACTCGCTCGGGACGCTGGTCCACTCGCTCGGGACGCTGGTCCACTCGCTCGGGACGCTGGTCCACTCGCTCGGGACGCTGGTCCACTCGCTCGGGACGCTGGTCCACTCGCTCGGACTGTCCCCAAGCTGGCTCGCCTCCTGCATGCGCGCACGGGAAGCCACGCTCGGTGGCGCATGCGTGGAAGGACGGCATCGGGGAGCGGCGGTGCAGCGGTTAGCGCTATGCCGCGCTATGAACCCGGCGACCCGAGTTCGATTCCCGCTCGCGGCCAACGCCCAGTGACGATTGTCTGAACCGGTCCTGGGCCTCCCCTAGGTCTACTCAGCCTCAAATGAGTACCCGGCGCGTTGTGTAGACATCGCCACTGGGGAGACAAAGGCGGCCGGGCGTGGTGTGCTGCCCACCCACTCCCTCGGGTGCCGTGCCGGCCTTCATAGGTGCTCGCTAACAGCACTTCTCCGAACAGTCTGGTAAAGGCTATACGGGGGATCTTTGTCTCTGTATTTGGTTGTTACAGCGTTGTGATGGTGTAACAGGGATCGTGACATCTTTGACACTTCTCTCTGCACGTCCTGCGTGTTTGCCGGATGCTGCCTGACCTTGCAGGGAGTAAACCCGGTGCTGTGTGCTGTCAAATCCCAAGGGGTTCGGCTGGCTCGGAACTTCTGTGAAATCGAAACAACAAAGTGAGTTTCATAGTTGTGTGTATGCCTTTACAGGGGACTCTCAAACCGACGCATCAGACAATTGTGAAAGAGTTTGCTACACAACACGATGGTAAGGCACACACATTGTGAACTCTTTTTGTTCATCAATACAAAGTGATAATCACCACTTTGCACTTTGTATTTTAGTTTATGAAAGACAATACCACCACGTTTATCTGGTTTATTTTATTCATTACACATTTAAATCCTTGTATTGGAAGACTTGGTCCAAACTGCTCGTCTTGCCCGACAAGAGTAAATGCTACACTTGTAAATTCTTCTCCTCATTCGTGGAAAGGCATTGCATCTCTCTTGAGGTTAAACCCCCTTTAATTTCCATCCAGTTTTTTCAGGGACAATGGGAATTGTCAATTGGTCATTGCGAATATAAGCAGTTTTGATCGATTTCGTAAAAAGCTAAAATATATCTAAATGGGATTTAAGTTATAACTACGAATCTTACACTGTTTGTTGTTAATTGTTGAATGTTTCTGGTTTTATCTAAGTTGTGTGATATAACTTCCACTGCTACATTACATCTGTTGCTTTGAGACTCAGGTCTCCCTTGGAAAATAGATATTTAGTTTCACTGGACCCTCACCTGGTCTTAACTCCCGAGTTGCATGCTATTTTTGCGCATGGCAATATTTAGTTCACAATGTGGTCCATAGGTTTGGCTGCGTGCCCACAATCGCGCTGTGGGTTGCCTTTCATTATCTCGCGGCCCAGCTGTTACGTGATTCCTTGTTAGCTTAAGTGATGACGTCACCCTGCTGCTCTATATAAAACCGGGAGCAAGCGAGGGCTTTACCATTCTGGCGAATTGCCCGATGATGCTGGATGTATTTATCAGCGAAACGTCGTTCTCAAACTGTAAATGTGGATTCACTCTTCAACACACCGGTGGGCTAAAGTAGTGAATTATTTGTCTTTTGTCAACGTGACACTTTTTTTGCTGATTGGCCTTGTCGGGTGGTGGAGGGTTACGACACATATATAAATAAACGCGATCTAACCCAAAAACCTTTATTATGAATATTGGTCGCGAAAGCCTACGTGTTAAACTGACAACTAATACCGTCATACAGGTTAAATTAGACGTTAATTCGAGTTTAGATATGATTATCTCCGAGTGATATGACACAATATCATTAGAAGTGGAGGCACTGGGTTGCCCAATGTGTCGGTGATACGGGCCGGTCGCCCTCGCAGCGGATTTTGGTGAACCGTCACAGCGCTTTGAGATCCGCTTCCGCGGCCGTCTGGAATGCTCTTCCTTCCGCTATTAGGAAGCCACTGGCGTTATGCACTTTTAAATCATCTAGATTGAAAACCCATTTCTTTAGAACTGATTTTTCTGTTTAGTTTGTTGTCCTTCCTCCGCACCGATTCGCGCAGTTTGGCTATGTACGGTGAAAAAGAAGTTCAACATACATACAATACGAAATTGTTGAAACCAATTCTCACACTTTCTGAAAATGACGAGAAACTCATCAGGCAGAAAAGTGTGTGGAGCCTGGAAACAAATCAGAGTAGTAGTAATAATAATCCACGCAAAGAGGTGTTGTTTTCTAAGACAGCAAGAGGCACAATTGTGACCCATCATGCCTCGCATGGCATGTGACATCACCATACGATGAAGAACACAGTCGTTTACTGTCGAGACATCACCTTTTCCGCACGCTGTATTGTGACCGCCAATGCGCGTGTGTGCGTGTGTGAGCGCGCGCGTTATGGTGACGGTGAGTCTGACTAAACGGCCGACGCGTCGGTGGTGAGACGGTCTGAATGAGCTTGCTGGGCTCCCCACCCTGCGGCAGGTAGCACGGCTGAGTGTTGCAGCCCTCTTCCTCGGTGGGATGGCCTTCCTCGCCGCACATCCGCGGGTCCATCACCTCGAAGTCCTCGTTGTAGCAGAGGGCCTGGCGCTTGCGCAGGCCACCGCCGCAGCTCACCGAGCACTGCCGCGGAAGTGAACGTTCGGCGGAAAGTTCCCGAGTACGTAGAGCGGTGTTCTTCACTAATGTTTAAAGGGGGGTCGGGGGGGGGGGCACTTTCGCCGATAAGACATCATCAGTGTGAGGGCCGCCACACGTTTGAAACCATTGGGAGGGGATTTGACAGCGGCACGATGACGATGGGGGTGGGGGGGTGTTTCTCACTCTGTGTATTGTCAGGGGCCGCACGTCAGGGGCCTCCCGAAAGGCAATGAGGGGGTGGGGGTGGCGCCAGTGACCCGTGGGCCTTGCAACGATGAACACTGGCTGAGAGCGTTGCCCCCGCTGAGCGATAGAGGGATATGTGAGCCAGGCGGTGGTGGCTCAATGCACGCCTGTAAACCAGCACTGTGGAGGTGGGGGGTTGGTGGATCGCACACATGGTGTGAAACGCCCTTCCCATGGCCGTCGAGGCTCCACTCCCTGGCTCGCTGTAAGAATGCGGTCCTGCAAAATGTGGACGCCACCCATTCAATTTAACACGTGCTTTTTTCTCTGAGTGCTCAAGTTTCCTCACGCATGTAAACACTCATTGATTGGCCAATAACACCTTCATATGCAGAGGACCGCAGAGCTTGGGGGGGGGGGGGATTGAATTTGGTGCCAGCTCCCCGCTTGGCTGTTGCCTTTCCCACTCGTCTGCGGTTCCTCTGTGCCTCTCTGAGTCATTCTCACTCGTCGAGAATGCGCGAACGCTGCGAGGCGTAGTTTAAGTTCAAATGTATTTTTAAAATCATTATTAAATGAGGCCGAATTAATGTATGTATGCTGAACTTATTTCGCACAGTACGCAGCCAACCGTGCTAATCAGAGGTGTGAAATGTGAAGGTGGAAATCAATTTTCTGCCAATCCTTTCAGCAGCACACAGCAATTGTAAAATCGGCAGAAGCTTGAGATTGGGAGGTGGCCTGCAGCAGTGTTAAGATCCAGAGGGAGTGTTCCTGTGGGGCGCTAATCAGCGAGGCTGTCTGCAAGATGAGAGCAGCAGTTATTGCAGTGGAGTGCAGCGCTCTTTTGATACCAAATTAATATCCGGCTATTTTTTTTTTGTAAACGTTTACGGGAACCGCCTTTCGACCAACCCGATTTTTTTTTCTGGCCCTGGTTATTTAATCCAATAAGGAACGATTTTTTTTGTTTGTCAATTTTAATTACTGTGTTGAAACTAGAGGAAATAACAATTATTTGTTTTGTTTTTTAGAAAGGAAAGCCGCACCGAGTCTCGTGACTTTACCGGGAGGGTTTGGAATCGGGATGTTTGGGTAATTCCCTTTTTAATAAGTGTTTGGCATGTGGGAGGAAACCGGAATCCTTGAGAAAAGGCCATGTATTTGAGGGGACACTGCTCCATACAAACACTTTGTAGAGCGCGTGCTGTGCTACAATTGTTCGGCCACTGCACAGTCCAAGCCTGGACATTTCAGTCTCCCACCAAGAACTAACCATGCTCAACCCCACTTGGCTTGTCATATCTGACAAGATTTAGGCATATTCAGCCGAACGTGGTCACGTAAACAGAGATTGGCATCATCTAAATTCCAGATAATGTAAATAGTTAACTGCATAATCGGTAAACATAACCGGTAAATTGTATCTAAATTACACGAGACACGATTTATTGTTAATATGTATCGAATCTCGTTCCTCCATAATATGTAATTTGAATGTATTTTGCCCATCTCTGCGTGATGATCGCGGCAGCATGTCTGCAAGCTTGCAGCCATTCGCTTTTCGAGCAGTGTTCGTGGAAATGCGTGCGCGTGTGTCCGTTGCTTCGGGCCCAAAGTGACGCCGTGCGCGGCACCCACCAGCCCCCAGGGCCCCTCGAACCAGCCGAAGCTCCGAGCGGGGCACGCGGCGCGCTCGCACGGCTGCCTGGCAGGGGGCGTGCTGGCGGGGCTGCACCGCGCCAGCTGAGCGCCCCTGGGTGCCGGCGGGCCGCACGTCACCGCCCGGGTCTGCACGCCGGTGCCGCACGTCGCCGAGCACTGGGGCGGGGGGGGCGAGAGACCCGCAGGGCGACGTGAGGGCCCTGCTGCCTGGCTTCTAGGCAGAGTCAAAATTCACCCACTACCCCAGCGCAATTTCCCTGTGCTCTCATAACTGTTAAGCTTCTGTCTATTCAGGCTCCCTCCCTCCCCTCCCTTCCCTCCCCCTCCCTCCAAAGGTGGCTCGGCAGCTGAACCGGAACTCATGGGGTTGCTGAGTTCGAATCTGGGCTTCAGCTATTTATAATTAAACTGGGTTCTCAAGTGTAGCGAGTTCATAGATTCAACATTGACTGTGCAGTACCGACTATTACGTATGCAGTCCGTATGCATCTTTAACTTCTTTGACACCGTACGTAGCCAGCCGTGTTAATCAGAGGTCATGCAAAAGAGCTGCCGCGAGCGAGAATTAAAAAAAAGGTCACTTGGGATCTCAGAAGAAGTTCTGTGATATATGCTTCTGCGGCCCGCTTTTTCACACAGGGTAATGCACTGCGCTGCGAGAGTCTCAAATGGACACGTGTCTCTCGCAGCGTGACGCCAATAGCACAGTTTAAACGACCCACGGAAAGTAAGACGAAAGAAGATGTCAAATCGGCTTCACCTCGCTCCAGGGACTGACGCTCCACTCGGGGTTGCGGCATGGACCCAGGTTGCACTCCCGCTCGGAGGGTGGTGCCCCCTGCTGCTCACAGCCGCCGTCGCCGGATCCACACAACACCTGGCGCTGCTGGCGGCCCTGTCCACACTCCGCTGAGCACTGTCACGAACAAGGACAAAGATCCCCACCCGCTAGAGCAGGGGTCTCAAACTCGCGGCCCGCGGGCCAATTTTGGCCCGCGGAACGATATTTTGTGGCCCCCTACTTGACATCATTTTTTTACCATAGCTCAGGCTCGTGACAGCTTCCGGTGTTTGTTGATGGTAAATGTTTTTGGCGGCATGACGCTTGTGTAAAGAAACATAAATTAGCCGCATCATTGTTTAAGCCGCAGTGTTCAAAGCGTGTAAAAAAAGTAGTGGCTTATAGTCCGGAAATTACGGTAGTTTTTTTTATTAACTTTTTTTCTGTTATTATTAAATGTGTTTTTTTTTGTCACCCAGCCCCAGTCATGTCTTTCTCAAAACCTGCCGTGAATAGAAAGGTTGGCGACGAGCACAGACAATTTCAGGAAAAGTGGGAGACGGAATATTTTTTTGTTGAGCACAGGGGCACCCCGACGTGTCTTATATGCACAGAGAAAGTTGCGGTGCACAAGGAATACAACATCAGACGTCATTACTTATCTAGACATACTGAGGAGTATGCAAAATGCCAGGGAGATGAGAGAGAGGACCGGGTCGCCAATCTTAAAACATGTCTACTGCGGCAACAAGATGTTTTCAAGAAAGCAAGCAAAGAGAGTGATGCAGCAGTCGAAGCTAGCTACGTGGTGAGTGAGATGAGATTGCTAATGCGGGAAAGCCATTCAAAGACGGCGAGTTCATCAAAAAGTGCATGTTACAGGCTGCGAGTATAGTCTGTCCGGAAAAGAAGGGGTCAGTTTAGCAACATCAGCCTTTCAGCCAACACAGTGGCAGAGCGCATTTCTGACCTGTCAGGTAACATATACGATCAACTGCGTGAGAAAGCCAACACATTTCCGTTCATACACAGTCGCTCTTGATGAGAGCACAGACATCACTGACACTGCGCAGCTCGCAATGTATGTCCATGGTGTGGACAATTTTGAAGTGACGGAAGAGTTGCTCACAGTGAATCCAATGCATGGCCAGACCACCGCTCAGGAGATATTCCGCCAGCCGTGTGATGCCATTGTGGATGCCGGTTTACCATGGAAGAGGTTTGCTGGAATAACAACCGACGGAGCGCCATCAATGACAGGGAGGAGAAATGGACTGGTGGCACTTGTTCAAAGAAAACTGGAAGAGGAGGGTGTGGAGGAGGCCATTGCTCTGCACTGCATTATTCATCAGCAGGCCCTTTGCAGCAAATGCCTGAAGTTTGACAATGTGATGTCTGTCGTTGTGAAATGCATCAACCATATCAGATCCAGGGGCTTAAAGCACCGGCAGTTCCGCGCCTTTTAAGAGGAAATAGAGTCAGCATATGAGGATGTGCTCTACTTCACCGAGGTACGTTGGCTCAGCAGGGGAAACGTCTTGAAGAGGTTTTTTGAGTTGAGAGCAGAAGTGAAAGCCTTCATGGAGAAGGATGGGATGGCTGTTCCTGTGCTAAGTGATCCCAAATGGCTCATGGACTTAGCTTTTCTTGTTGACATCACACAGGAGCTGAATGTACTGAACAAGAAGTTACAAGGCCAGGGGCAGCTTGTCAGTGCTGCCTATGACAAAGTCAGAGCATTCTCCACAAAACTTGTGTTATGGAAAGCCCAGCTCTCTTAGACAAACCTCTGCCATTTCCCAGCATGCAAGGCACTCATGGACGCGGGCACACCATTCAGTGGTGAGAAGTATGCTGATGCCATTGTAAAGCTACAGGAGGAATTTGATCACAGGTTTGCAGACTTCAAGACACACAGAGCCACTTTTCAAATTTTTGCTGACCCCTTCTCCTTCGATGTGCAAGATGCCCCTCCTGTGCTCCAAATGGAGCTAATTGACCTGCAGTGCAATTCTGAACTCAAAGCCAAGTTCAGGAAGGTGAGTGCAAAAGTAGACAAGCTTGGACAATTTTTGAGAGAATTGCCCCCCACCTTCCCTGAGCTTTCCAGGATGTTCAAGTGGACCATGTGCCTTTTTGGGAGCACATATCTGTGTGAAAAGCCCTTCTGCACCATGCACTTTAATAAGTCAAAGTACAGGTCCAAACTTATTGATGAGCATCTTCAAGCCATACTGAGGGTCTCAATTGCTTCCTCCCTCAAGCCAAATGTGGCTCAGCTGTGTAAGAAGAGGAAGCGCTGCCAGGTCTCTGGCAGCAAGGAGTAGGTAAGAGAAGCCTATGTTCTGAAGAACCGTTCATGTTCTGAACTGTTATTAATAAAGATTGAGAAGATTGGATCAGTTGTACTTTTTTTTGGAATACTTGATGCGGCCCAGCCTCACCCAGACTCCACCTCCAGCGGCCCCCAGGTAAGTTGAGTTTGAGACCCCTGCGCTATAGCCTTCGCAGACTTGGGGCAAGGGCTGTTAGCGAGCAGCACATATGGAGGCTGGCACGGCGCACGAGGGAGTGGGTGGCCAGCACCATGCCCGGCCAAAAACACAAACACAAGAACGCTGTCACCAATACCCCTTTTTCCACCGGCACATCTGAGCCGAGCCAGCACACAGCACAGGTGGTGTTCCACTGGATATTTTTCGTACCAAGCCGAAACCAAACCGTGCTACGCTGGCTTTACAAGGCCTCGGAATCTCGCTAGAGGCCGAGCAGGGCCAGCTCCGAGGCCAACGACGTGTTCATCGCACGTGACGTCAGTCAGCGGCATGTGAGGATGCGGCATCACCATGTCATCTAGATGCGTCTCGGCTCGTTTGGTGTCTGTGTGAGACGTCAGTGGCAGGGTAGGGGTCGACTTCTGCAGTCGACAAACAAGCTGGCACCTCGAGAGCCGTGCTGTGCTGACTCAGCATGGCCCTGGTTTGGCTCAGTTGTACAGTGGAAAAGTGGTGGTGTGTAACGGACATCAAAAATTTATTTTTTTATTGAGCGGCAGGCTGAAGGTCAACATCTGGATGATAGCATTTATACAATTGCACAGCGTTTTGTCAAGGTCCCCTATTTGTCGTGTTTAGTTTGTTGCCCTTCCCCCACACCTCAATACGGTGCGAAATAATTTCAACTTACATATGGCCATGGGGGTTGCATGACGGTACTTCAATACGCTGGTCGGTGCCGGTTGATAAAGGAGGGTGTGGATCCATGACCAGTTCAGATATTCCACGCTGCCGGTGTTAGCCGTGGTTGGGAATCAAATTCCGTTCAACGTCCCCTCTCTCTCTCTGTCTGGGACGGGACCCGCACGTCCCCACCTCTCTCTCTGTCTGTCTGGGACCCTGCACGTCCCCACCTCTCTCTCTCTCTCTGTCTGGGACGGGACCCGCTCTGTAGGGCCTCGCTTCCCCGCCACGTCTCCGTCGGCCCCATCGACAGGCGCGTGGACACTTATTTACCAGTTGTGGTCGTAGTCGGCTTATACGCCGCAGAGACCCTATTTACGTCTCTACATATGTATTGAGCTGGATTAGTACCTGTTGTGAAAGTAAACAAATCGTTTGGTGACACTGAAGTTGGCAGTGGTGCGTAAGTTAAAACTACAAAAAGTCAACACATTCGTTAATTACACTGTGGCCTTAAAAGGGGGGAACCCCCCCCCCCAAACAGATCCCAACTTGGTAAGACGAATGACAGCAGCCTTAAAGGACTACGAGTTGCAATCGGGAGGGAAGATAGATGAGGGCAATTAGTAAAATGTTCTCCAGGGCTCTCAGCCGCTGCTGTTGAGCAACACTTGAGGAGGCTCTGTGGCTCTTCACTATCATCCCTCACGTGGACCACAATCACACCGCAAGTGGACTCTCATCAACCAGTGAAACCCACATGACCAGCGCACTATATACCTGCGCAATGTAGCAACACTTATTGATTCTTTAAACGAAATCATCAAGGGGAGGGTCTCTCCAAGCCAGCCCCTACCTTTCATAGTTCTGGGATTAAAACAATGCATTTAGGTCCTGTCCACAAACTAAGTAACTTTGCTCCACCTCTGTAAGAGCTGAGGGATCGTGAGCCAGATGAAGTCTGTGGGTCGATCCTACCTTGGATCATGACCGTGAGTTCTCCCATGATGATGTTTATATATAAATATGTAGAGGTGTTAACTAAGCGCTGTTGCGTAACCTGCGTTGCCACCAGGGCGGTGCAGCATTACCCCTGGGTACAACGGTTTGGGGTCAGTCGAGTGAAACGGATCGTGGCCAGGGTTTGGTGCGAACCAATCAGACGGTCCACGTGGGAATGTATGATTGGTTCTACCTGGCCACGAAGGGGTATAAGACGGGTGACCCAACGGACCTCGAGGAGTTCTCTCCCTGCACGAAGACAGAAGACTGGGCTGAAGCCTAGCTAGGACCCTGGACCAGCCCTTCCAGCCCTTCTAAGGGCTAAGGGCTCGGCATACCCAGTGGTCAGGACCCACCGGGCCAGCGGTGGGTCAGATAGCCTCCCCTAGGTCCCTAGCCGGAGGACTAGGATAGCGGTAGACGTGTGAGTCCCGCCAGGTCCGGAGGCTGTACCTCCCTAGGGTATCGGGTGAGGGACCGATATCCCTCTGTGTGTGTTAAGCGGTGTATAAGGAAATAATACAATAAACAGAGTGTGCCTCCTAAAGAAGTCTGCTCGTCCTTACAACACTACAACTGGAGTCAGAAGTGGTTGGAATGGAAACCAGAAGTTCAGCCACGCGCGGAGCCAGAACGAAGATGACGCTGTCTCACCTCTAAGCACCGCCAGCTCCGCTGAAAACGCTGCCGCGTTGACGGCCGCCCAGCCACCGGTTGAGCAGCCGGTTGCTCCCCCTGCCATGGGGACGGACTCAGGGCAGCACACGGCCGTCTCGCTCAACTCCTACACGCCGCGGCCTCCATTCTCGAAGAGATCGACTTGGAGGTTGCGGGCAGGCCAAGTCAACCGCCGGCAGACGTTCCCGCCACCGGCCAGGGCAGACATTTTGATTTTCCCGCCGGGGAACCACGTGATTCCGCCGGAAAGCGGAAGCCAGGGCATCCTGGGAACGC